TCATTACCGGGGGCGAACTGCGCTTTGGGCAAAGGCACACAGGTGTATGATTTTACCTGTTGTTAATTGGATTTAAGAAGTAATCAATCAGTTACTTGTCTTGTGTTCCCCAGGTGGGAATTAGTGGTGAACTTGTGATTATATGTTCTTTTTAACTTGTTGTACCTTTGAGAAACATGCACTAGTGTAAGTCTGGGCTATACTAGATCAAGATCACACGAGCAGTATATCTAATGGCACTGTTCTATATGATGGATCTTTTGACTTGAAATCAATTTACATGTATTTGGTACCTTGATATATATATATATTTGTACAGCCCAACCCTTAATGTCGGAAATGCTACCAGGATTGGTTCAAGGGTCTGCCCCACCCCTGCCTCTTGGGACTTAGTCCCTGGATCATATCATGGAAACTGTAATACAAATACTTGGCTTGAGGAAATGATAAATGCACATGTGTGGTACCAGCTGGGTCGGCCCTTGAGTCCAGCCTATACCCATGGGCATGTTAAGGCACAGGTGTCATACTTTTGATTCAATATTTAGTTCAGATCCCCATCCCATAACCATATATATATATGCCATTGCTAGTCATGAACAAATATATACAGCCATGCTATTAGGTTTGCTCCAGGAACATGCCTCACCCTTTTGAACTTAGTCCCAGGGTCTTAATCTTCAAAAAGTTAAGATCCTCAAATTATAAACACCATATAATTTGACTTGAAGAAACTAATCGATTCATGCTTCTTTCATGACAAGATCCTACTACTACTAGTCCTTTACTCACAACTTTTTTTAACAATGGATTTTAAATCTAAAGATGTGTGCTTGCTCGGTAGGAAGTGACAAACATAAACTACTAACGCTAGGCATCTTCAAAGTCGAAGGGTTCTATATATTCTTTGTACTCTTAAAATATGTCAAGATAAAAACTTAGGTTAATGGTAAGCTATTTGATTCAAGGCTTAAGGCTGATACTCTATCCCCTTGAATATTACAGAAGAGTTCGTCCAAATGAGAAGCTGTCAATTTTACCATTATGCTTCTCTTGGATTCCTTTAATCTTTTATCAAAGAGATCACAGGTATACAGGATTCCATTACAGTTATCAGACTAGTCAACCAGTATAATCTGCAAGGTGACACATACAGATCCTTCAGTTCCGTAATGACATACACCAGGGTTATAGGGAAGACATTAAATCAAGAGCAAAATTAACATCTGCATGTCCAAACGGCTACAGGAATTTTATCTCAGTATTGGCCAAACAGCTGGAGATGTATTTGCAGTACTGTGATGACTATTACTTTTAATGAGACTAATTTGCACTGATTATTTAACTCATTCACCCCTGAAATTTCATTATGAACTAATCCAACCTTTGAGTTGGAAGATTTAAAATGTGTCATCAGGGGTAAATGAGTTAGAACATAATCCAGGTGAACCATACAGGCCCTCTGGAGCTCTTATTTAATTCTATCCGTCTAGAGTAGAAGGTGGGTTAGCAGTGGTGATCTACAGTCACCAGCCATTAGTGGCTAAATTTCTTGAGCTCCCATGTTCTCAATATAATTTCCTTTTGGACTGGACAGTGAATGCTGTGTATCCTATCTTGTATTAATGTCCAAATATCAACTGTTTGATTCATCCACTTATGTGTCCAGATATCAATCATTTCTCACTAACTCGGCCTGGCCCAAAGGGCCAAGTGACCTTAATTGCCATGGTGCAGCGTCTGGCGTCCGGCATCCGTCAACTTTTCCCTTTAAAGCGCTACTAGTCCTTAATGGCTCAGAGGATTTTGACCAAATTTGATCTGGAGCATCATTGACCAAAGGGTTCTCAGTTTTGTATTAACGAAGGGTATGGTCCCCCCGAGGGCAGAGGGGTGGGGCCAAATATAAATAGGTAAATCTTTAAAAATCTTCTTCTTCTCATCAAATTGAAGGATTTTGACCAAATTGTTCTAGAGCATCTTTGGACAAAGAAGCCTCAAGTTTGTATAAACGAAGGGTGTGACCCCTCTGGGGGCAGAGGGGCGGGGCCCAATAGGGGAAATAGAAGAACATTTTTCTCCTACTATACAAGTGAAGGGATTTAAACCAAATGCAGTCTGAAGCATGCTTAGGGACAAAGAATCAATTTTGTATAAACTGAGGTGTGTGGACTTCCTTCTTTGGGGCAGATGGCTGGGACCCATTAGGGGAAATAGAGGAAAACATTAAAGATCCTTCTCCTTCTGTACCGATAAAGGGATTTTGACCAAATTTGGTCTGGAGCATCATTGACCAAAGGGTTCTCAGTTTTGTATAAATGAAGGGTATGGTCCCCCTGAGGGCAGAGGGGTGGGACCAAACAGGGGTAAAATAGGTAAATCTTAAAAAATCTTTTTCTTCTCATCCAATAGAAGGATTTTGACCAAATTTGTTTTAGAGCATCTTTGGAAAAAGGAGCCTCAAGAGGGTGTGGCCCCTCAGGGGGCAGTGGGGTGGGGCCCAATAGGGGAAATAGAGGAAATGTTTTCTCCTACTGTACATGGACAAGAGAAGGGATTTAAACCAAATGCAGTCTGAAGCATACTTAGGGGAAAAAAACTCATTTTGACAGATTTACATGCTACTTTTACAAGCTTCTTGCAACTTTTTTTCTTGCACTCCTTTGATAAACCTGTATGGTACTCAGCTGCTTTTAAATTGAAAAATAGAATACCAAGTGAGCTATTAAGGTCCCTGGGCCTCTTGTTGAGATTAATATGTCTAAAAATTGTTTATTATGTATTTAATTATTTGCATTGATATGATTCCTCAATTCAATTTATTTTTTATGTGCAAGTATCAGCCATTCTTTACTATGTAAAAGTGTAGAACAGTTATGTTTCCAATCTCCTGCTAATTAACTCTCAACAATTTAGATTAATTAGGTTTTGTAAACACTGAGGAAATAGCTACATTTGCATGTGATTACTTGCAGATTTTTTTCCATGAATAGCATTTCAGATTTTAGAAATAAAATGTGTTTAATTGTGATTATATATATAAAGATACCAGAACAATTTTGCGTACAACTATAACGTGAGAAAGATAATAAAAAGATAATGCATATGATATATACATCTATCAATGTGGGTGTTTTGAAATTGTTAACATTGAATTCTGACATGTAGCCAATTTAATTTGGAGTGGAAAGCAGCGTGGGTATTGATCTGTTGACTGTTAGCAGTAGGTTTGTGGCTGCCGAGGGAGCAATCCTCGGCCGTATCATTAGTTATAGATCTAAGCAATGCTAACACACAACCTTTACATGAAAGCTTAAAGTGGCACACCCCAAAGATTGTATTTCTTCTGCCAGCAGTCTGTGATAAGATCAAAAAAATGTTCCCGTGTTGGTAGACAGCTAAATTTCTAATTACTCTACGACTCCTGTATGTTTTCCCCTGTAGTCAGTTACATCTAAATTCTGTCTGTGATTAGTTTAGAAAAAATGTTTACACTTTCTTTTCTCACCTGAGCTAATGAAAAATTCTGGTGGATTTGTCACTTTGAAATAATTCAGATTTGAGGATAGTGATATGGAAACATTCCAGGTGCACAGCGTTAAGGTTGTACAGCGCAACCTTTAAACAGCAGTGTTGATTTTTTATTTTTTTTTATAGTCAGCTGATTTGTTCTCAGGGCCATTAGTGAAACTTTTCAATGCATACAATATATATGAGTATTTGTTGAAAATACAGGTTGGGTTCAGTGCATTTTTTTTTAAAATTTGCATGCAGCTCAAGGTGCCTTAAATGTAGTACTCCAAATACGAAACAGGAAGTGTCTGTATCTGAAATTTGATAAATTAGGCAATTTATAGCTTATATATGGGTGTACGTGTATAAGAAATGAGTTTTTGGAAATGTTTGTTGGTAGCTCAGCCTCTTTATATGTGCTATCATCTTTACGATGTCTTGTATATACAATGTAGTAGGTTTAATTTGAGCCCTTCAGAGCCACTATAGGGGGCTGATGTCATTGTGGAGTGTTTCAGTGAACATACAGTCTGAATATCATTGACGTCTCCTTTTAGTCTGACCATACGTGTGATGTCCCCCTATTCCAAGGGGAACCTCCCTATATTTTACCTTGAATAACTGATATATTCCCTCTAAACAGTCAGATGAATTTCCCTACAGTTGATTGTGATGTTAGAAAAGCTTAACTTGCTGAAAATGTGTCTATAAAATGAAATGTGTCAATAAACACTAATAAATGAGTTTCCTCTGGCTAGCACCGGATCAATGATAAAAACCTGAACAAGGCTTCATTTATGAATATTGATCAATATAAAAGCAAATTCATTATTCTGATTCCAGTAAAATAATTCTTGCAGTGAAAACCCTCCCTGTCAGGAACTCCATCTCCGGGTCCGTAGCAGTGGGGTATTTCTCCCTACCAGTAGGATATAGAGTCATAACAGTTGTAGGCACTGGCTTAGAAACACTCTATTGGTACATATTGAGATCGTGGCCTGATAATTGGGAATGGCTTGCAAGCTTCGATTATTATCTACAGTTTCTATTTTTATAGACAATATTTATATACAAACCTTTGTTATTTTTATGCCCCCGCTATAAAATGGGAAGGGGGTGGGGGGGAGCGTATATAGTGTTGCCGATATGTCTATCCCTTCCTGTCACGTACCGATTCAATGTAAACTTAGAACATCAAACACTGAAATTAATTTCACTAGGCGGTGGGGGCATTCATGTCTTACAGACATTTTCTAGATTTTTTGAAATTTGGATGTCATTAAGGAACCCTGTTCTACTGCCAGTAACTATGCACTAGAAACTGCCTGAATTTTGCTTTGATAAACCATTACTGTTGCTCTAACCTAATGACTAAATGAGTTATATGGTCAAAGATATTGTACCGTACGCGTAGACCAGTCCACCTACAGGTACGTACAAAGTGAAATAAACATTAATACAATTAAATATAATTACATTTTTTACAGTCATCCGGACCTTTCTCACTAATCCAGCCTCACTGAGTGTGACGGAGGGAGAGGTCGTTGAGTTGGAGTGTGTCACAGGTATATTACAAACTATGGTCAAACCCTTGACAGGCCTTGCACTTTACTCTATTTGAAAACACCTCAGATGGAATGTACTTGCATGCCGCATGCAAGTGTGGTTTTGTATTCTGAAAGTGGCTTTTTCAAACAAATTTGTGAAGACTGTAATTTAATTGTCCCGTATAAATGGAGAAGTTCGCATATTTTGAAGGATTTCTACTGTAATGATGTTTTTTAAGGGAATACATTATTTTTTTTATAGTTTTTAGAAAATCATGATGGTAACATCTTCAATAAGATTCATCAGTTTGGAAATATTTAATATATCAAAGTTTAACTCAAGAATGAGATGAGTTCTTAGAGTTGCCCAAACATTGGGAAAATACTGGTAGACAGAACCTAATGAAGCCAGCCTTTGCATATGTACCTTAGTCTAATGACTTGGTTAGTAGCTTACATTGTTCTTTCCTGTGAGAGATACTATATATGTATGTGTTTCAGGTGAGAGTGCCCCTGCCCCTATTGTGATATGGGAGAAGAACGGTAAGCAGTTCTTTGAAGGAGATCAGTACACGTCAGTGTTTGGCATGTCAACTATTCCAGGAGTTATCTCCCAGTACGCAATGAAGCTTGTAATCCAGACGGCCTCGTATGATACAGGAGCGTACAACTGTGTGGCGCGCAACCCAGCCCTCGGTGTGGAGGTCAGGTCATTGAAGGTTGACCTACAGGTAGAAGGTGAGAATGTCATACTCGCTGACTGTGATGTCATACCCCCTTATGGTGATGTCATACCCACTCACTGTGATGTCATACCCCCTCATTGTGATGTCATACCCACTCACTGTGATGTCATACCCACTGACTGTGATGTCATACCCCTTTATTGTGATGTCATACCCACTCACTGTGATGTCATACCCCCTCATTGTGATGTCATACCCCCTCATTGTGATGTCATACCCACTAACTGTTATGTCATACCCCTTTATTGTGATGTCATACCCACTCACTGTGATGTCCTACCCCTCATTGTGATGTCATACCCACTCAATATAATGTCCTACCCACTCATTGTGATGTCATACCCACTAACTGTGATGTCATACCCACTCATTGTGATGTCATACCCACTCACTGTGATGTCATACCCACTGACTGTGATGTCATACCCACTCATTGTGATGTCATACTCCCTCACTGTGATGTCATACCCACTGATTGTGATGTCATACCCACTCACTGTGATGTCATACCCACTGATTGTGATGTCATACCCACTCACTGTGATGTCATACCCACTCACTGTGATGTCATACCCACTGATTGTGATGTCATACCCACTCACTGTGATGTCATACCCACTGATTGTGATGTCATACCCACTCAGAAATGATGGAGATAAAACACCAAATGAACATTTTTTCATAAAACACTTGTAACATTTATAAATCCCATCTCTAATAGTTTTACCTGGCAATATTGTGTGAAATGCTATCCCTGCTAACAATCTATGATCATGATCGATATCTGCAAAATATTAGCCCTATGAAATTCAACAGCCAAACAGTTATCATTATCATGTAATGAAATGATAGAACTTCGTTAAAATTATGTTAAAAAGAATTGAATGTTAATTGTATCAGCTCTCAAATAAATGTTGATTGTTTCTGCTCTCAATTGAATGCTAAATATTTCAGCTTTCAATTAAATGTTAATTGTTTTAGCTCTCAATTAAATGGTAATTGTTTTAACTCTCCATTAAATATTTAATGTTTCAGCCCTAGAGCGAGCACCCTATGTGGACAGCTCACTGTATTTACAGAATGTGATAGCCCCTCGGGACCAGCCCCTTCAGATTATTTGTCCGATCAGGGGTTATCCGATTCCCCACATCACCTGGGAGTTCAATGGAGCACCGTTTGTCAGTACAGACTACACCATACTGTTTCCCAATGGCAGTATATTTATCGTCAACCTAGAGGAGAAGAATGACGGGCCATATGTGTGTGAGGGAGTGAACTACTTAGGGAGTGTAAAGTCTGCCATGATCAATGTTAGAACTGCCTGTAAGTATAACAAAGGACATGGAGTGTAAAGTCTGCCATGGTCAATGTTAGGACTGCCTGAAAGTATAACGAAAAACACGGTGTGTAAAGTCTGCCAGGATCAATGTTAGGACTGAATGTAAGTATAACGAAAAACACGGTGTGTAAAGTCTGCCATGATCAATGTTAGGACTGCCTGTAAGTATAACGAAGGACATCGAGTGTAAATTCTGCCATGATCAATGTTAGGACTGCCTGTAAGTATAACGAAAAACATGGTGTGTAAAGTCTGCCATGATCAATGTTAGGACTGCCTGTAAGTATAACGAAGGACATGGAGTGTAAAGTCTGCCATGATCAATGTTAGGACTGCCTGTAAGTATAACGAAGGACATGGAGTGTAAAGTCTGCCATGATCAATGTTAGGACTGCCTGTAAGTATAACGAAGGACATGGAGTGTAAAGTCTGCCATGATCAATGTTAGGACTGCCTGTAAGTATAACGAAGGACATGGAGTGTAAAGTCTGCCATGATCAATGTTAGGACTGCCTGTAAGTATAACGAAGGACATGGAGTGTAAAGTCTGCCATGATCAATGTTAGGACTGCCTGTAAGTATAACGAAGGACATGGAGTGTAAAGTCTGCCATGATCAATGTTAGGACTGCCTGTAAGTATAACGAAGGACATGGAGTGTAAAGTCTGCCATGATCAATGTTAGGACTGCCTGTAAGTATAACGAAGGACATGGAGTGTAAAGTCTGCCATGATCAATGTTAGGACTGCCTGTAAGTATAACGAAGGACATGGAGTGTAAAGTCTGCCATGATCAATGTTAGGACTGCCTGTAAGTATAACGAAGGACATGGAGTGTAAAGTCTGCCATGATCAATGTTAGGACTGCCTGTAAGTATAACGAAGGACATGGAGTGTAAAGTCTGCCATGATCAATGTTAGGACTGCCTGTAAGTATAACGAAGGACATGGAGTGTAAAGTCTGCCATGATCAATGTTAGGACTGCCTGTAAGTATAACGAAGGACATGGAGTGTAAAGTCTGCCATGATCAATGTTAGGACTGCCTGTAAGTATAACGAAGGACATGGAGTGTAAAGTCTGCCATGATCAATGTTAGGACTGCCTGTAAGTATAACGAAGGACATGGAGTGTAAAGTCTGCCATGATCAATGTTAGGACTGCCTGTAAGTATAACGAAGGACATGGAGTGTAAAGTCTGCCATGATCAATGTTAGGACTGCCTGTAAGTATAACGAAGGACATGGAGTGTAAAGTCTGCCATGATCAATGTTAGGACTGCCTGTAAGTATAACGAAGGACATGGAGTGTAAAGTCTGCCATGATCAATGTTAGGACTGCCTGTAAGTATAACGAAGGACATGGAGTGTAAAGTCTGCCATGATCAATGTTAGGACTGCCTGTAAGTATAACGAAGGACATGGAGTGTAAAGTCTGCCATGATCAATGTTAGGACTGCCTGTAAGTATAACGAAGGACATGGAGTGTAAAGTCTGCCATGATCAATGTTAGGACTGCCTGTAAGTATAACGAAGGACATGGAGTGTAAAGTCTGCCATGATCAATGTTAGGACTGCCTGTAAGTATAACGAAGGACATGGAGTGTAAAGTCTGCCATGATCAATGTTAGGACTGCCTGTAAGTATAACGAAGGACATGGAGTGTAAAGTCTGCCATGATCAATGTTAGGACTGCCTGTAAGTATAACGAAGGACATGGAGTGTAAAGTCTGCCATGATCAATGTTAGGACTGCCTGTAAGTATAACGAAGGACATGGAGTGTAAAGTCTGCCATGATCAATGTTAGGACTGCCTGTAAGTATAACGAAGGACATGGAGTGTAAAGTCTGCCATGATCAATGTTAGGACTGCCTGTAAGTATAACGAAGGACATGGAGTGTAAAGTCTGCCATGATCAATGTTAGGACTGCCTGTAAGTATAACGAAGGACATGGAGTGTAAAGTCTGCCATGATCAATGTTAGGACTGCCTGTAAGTATAACGAAGGACATGGAGTGTAAAGTCTGCCATGATCAATGTTAGGACTGCCTGTAAGTATAACGAAGGACATGGAGTGTAAAGTCTGCCATGATCAATGTTAGGACTGCCTGTAAGTATAACGAAGGACATGGAGTGTAAAGTCTGCCATGATCAATGTTAGGACTGCCTGTAAGTATAACGAAGGACATGGAGTGTAAAGTCTGCCATGATCAATGTTAGGACTGCCTGTAAGTATAACGAAGGACATTGAAAGTGTTCAGTTTTTCATTGTAAATGTTAGGACTGCCTGTAAGTATGCACTTAAGCTGAGTTTGCCATCATGATAAATATTAGTGTCTGTAAGTAAGATAAACTGTTTAGGGAGTATGAATGTTAGACCTGCTTGTGGCCTGTCACAGATCTACCCTTTAAGGTTGTTATGTAACAATTCAAAACTGTCAATGAAAGACCAAAATGGATATTGTCACTGTTGAAGTAGACAGATTCAAAGAAATACAAGAAAAACTATGCGTTCATTGGTAACAAAATGCTAAAAAAAACGTCTGCTTTCCATTTTTTTCCAGTTATTGAATTGGAGTTTGTGAGCGAGCCGTACCGTGTGTTCACGATCGCGGGCCAGTCTCAGACCCTGCCTTGTAGTCCACCACGGAGCTATCCTCTGGCCACCGTCACCTGGTACAAAAACAACAAGCTGGTTGTGTATCGCACTGGACAACAGGCTTTGTTTATCGTTGACCCAGCCAACAATGTGTGGGATCTATTCTTTGCTGAAGTCCAGAAGCCAGATGAGGGAGAATACTTCTGTGTGGCCTCCAATAACTACTCTGTACCGACAGCAAGGACGTCCAGTACAGCTGTGATGAGTGTGGGAGGTAAGTGGTCACCTTGACCTTACTGGTCCCATGACAAGAACTTAGTGTAACATTATATTCGATACTTTACAGATTATCACTGTGTTTATGCTTTGTCTTGATACCAATTTCTCATCGCTAGCACAGGTGGGTAAAATTGAGTGCCTATAAAAGAGAGAAAAAATTTGACCAAACAAATAATTGTTATTCAGCTATCAGATTAGTATCATTATAATTATTTATGTTAGGTAAAATCCACAAGATTAAAAAGATGTCTGGTTCCTAACTTTATTATATTTACAATATAGCTTGGTTTACAATATGACTGCTTTGCTGCCTTGGTAATGTTTCCTGGTTTCATATTTCGCCAGGTGCCCCGATCTTCCTCCAGCCCCCGATCGGTGTGACAGCCATCAAGGGTGAGGGCGTGGCCTTAACCTGTCTGGTTGGTGGTGACCCCTTCCCAGAGATCCGCTGGCTACAGGACCGCATCGATGTTGTACCTAACAGTCAAGTCACCTTCACGTAAGTACCTTGAATGGAATTATATGGGCTAATAACAGTCAAAACACAAGTTATCTGGTGAATAATGTCTTAAACACCAACTTTCCACTGATTTAAAGCAATAAATAGAATACCATCAAACAGTTCAATCTTTTTACTAGTATATAGAGAAACACTATGAGGAAACACCTGAGTTTCTCTTGATGGAGGTCAACGGTCAGGGCGACCAATTAACCTGACTGAACTTTTGAGGAATAAATCAAGAGTGTACATTGTCTTAGATGCTGTTTGTTCCTTGTGTAAGCTTGTAGAAGGCAAAAACTGATGTACATTAACTTTGAAAATAGTCAAAAAATGAACTTTGTATTTGTCATAGGAATGTTATGTAAAATAAATGAAAAATAAATTATTATCAGTATTTAAACATCTGTTTATCTTCCATTAACTTTGGTTTCAGGCGTAATTACCAGGAGATACACATAGCAGACATCAACAAGGCTTACGAAGGCACATACACCTGTAGGGCCAGTAACAGTTACGGAATCAGGGAAACCGACGCCTACGTCAGGGTCCTAGGTAAGTACAGTGTTTTTATCATATCAAAGCAGTTCTATTAACAGTTTACTTTGTTGACTTCCTAAAGGTGTCGTTTTAAAAGGACAGGTTTTCAAGGCAATAAGGGCCAAACATGCTAAACAACGTCCTCTCAAGAACCACAATGTATGGAATCAGGAAATTTGCCTTTTGTAAATTGCCAACTAGATAGGCTATTAGTTGAATAATTGACCTTGACTTACATATATTTGAGGTCAAGAGGCATGTGCGTTAATACGACTATTCAAATGATTTCTACTGAACCATTACGCCAAGAGTAATTATATTTAGCCTATTTCTTGAGGGGCTAAAGACTGTCTTTGTTATGAGTTTTAAGGGATTGAAATTTCAAACAAAATGATCAAAAAACATTTGCCTTGAGTCAGGATAGTTTGCTGGCATGTTGGTGTAGGGTGTACATGTGAGACATGGGCTCTCAAGATTGTTCAAGATAGTACTTTGATCCAAACTTAATATAATAAGGTCAATTCTGTTAAAACTTTTAAATTACTTCTGATAAACCATGCATCTTAGAGGAATGGTGTTTGGTCTACAGCTTGCTGGTTTGAAGGGATGATCTTTCCACTGATTTCTCAGATACAAAAATTAATTGAATGATTTACTGGCAATTATTATCTCTAATTCTTTGTTCAATAAAGCAGTTTTTACATCTATTTCAGTTCCTGTGGTAATCGTCAACCCTGTTGCTAACATCACTGCCAAGGCTGGGTCAGAGGTCAAGGTCACTTGTGGTGTGTATGGTGACCCCAAACCTACTGTGGTCTGGTACAGAGGTAGGTTAAAGTTGTGCTTTTATAGAAGCAGCACATTTTTGAACAATCACGCACTATAATCAGTTCATTTGCTCTAGAAACATCTGATTTAATATCAACAGTAAGCATCCTGTTTCACTCTTTCAGATTTCATCACGTTTGCAGGTTTTGGTAAAGAAAAAGACCTACATGTTTTCTATTCTACTGCATTATAGGACTAGACAGTTAATGTAGGGTCCTCAGAGATATTTGTCCTTTGATAATTAAGAGACATTGAAGTTGGGATCATTCAGCTTTTCTATATATTCCTTTTCCTAAAATGTTTGTACTTCCTTGTCTCTGCAAGCGCACATACAAAATGTACTTTTACCAATATTTTACCATGTAACCCTGTGTGACATTATGTTAGTGGGATGGTTGTAATAATTACTTGCAAAAATATGCAATTTATTCATCAATGTAAGTTATAGGCCCAGGTCAGATTGTGTGGCAAGATTTATAAAATGAAGGCAACAGAATTAAGACAGATCGCTGATCAAATATGAAAAGTTCAGTGATCAGAGATTTTTCAATCCAGCTTTTACAACAGCCTGTTCCTGGATGACTTAGAGCCTTATCATTTTTAGGTCACCTGAGCTTTGCTCAAGTGACCTATTCCAATCGCTTTTCGTCCGTCGCCGTGCGTCGTCCGTCGTGCGTCGTGCGTCGTGCGTAAACTTTTACATTTTCAACTTCTTCTCAAGAACCAGTGGATGGATTTTTTTCAAACTTGGTCAGAATCATCCTTGGTAGATGAGGCTTCAAAATTGTAAAATTGGGATTCCTACCCCAACCCCTGGGGCCAGGGCGGGGCCCCAAAGGGAAAATTATCCAATATTTCAAAAATCTTCTTCTCCAGACTCAGAGGTACTACAGTGATTTTCTCTACGTGGAAAGAAAGATCATCAGGGGCTTTACTTAAATTGTAAATTTCAGGACCCCCGAGCTATCCGTTCTCCCTTGGGGAGGGGGTAAAGTTTACTATAGTTTATATAGGGAAATAACACTTTTGGGTATATTTTGACAACTTTCTGTAGGAAATTATTTTTACTTGGTGAGAATTATCCTTGGAGGTAGATGGTTTCAAATTGTAAAATTGAGATTCCTACCCCGACCCCTGGGGCCAGGGCGGGGCCCCAAAGGGAAAATTAATCAATATTTCAAAAATCTTCTTCTCCAGACTCAGAGGTACTACAGTGATTTTCTTTACGTGGAAAGAAAGATCATCAGGGGCTTTATTTAAATTGAAAATATCAGGACCCCGAGCTATCCGTTCTCCCTTGGGGAGGGGTTAACGTTTAATATAGTTTATATAGGGAAATAACACTTTTCGGTATATATTTTATCCATTTTCAGCAGAAAATTGCTCAAACTTAGTCAGAATCATCTTGGGTAAATGAGAGTTTTACTTTGTAAAATTAGGATTCCTGCCCCATCCCCAGGGGCTAGGGCGGGGCCCCAAAGGGAACATTTACCAATATTTTCAAATTCTTATCCATTGATGACATGACAAGTATTGTATTTCACTTAGTTTACATGCTGATTTCCACATCACATCTAAACAATAAAATAAAGCTACCAGTACCTATGATATAACTCAGGTGACCGTTAAGGCCCTTGGGCCTCTTGTATTGAAATAAGGAAGATAAAATCCCGATGTTTTCTTCATATTGGCACTTTTTAGCCAGGCAAGCAGCCTGTATTTCGCTGTAAAACTAGGCAAAAAAAGCATTGGTGATAGAAGTAGCTATGATAGAATTATTGTGAAAGGATTGTATATGGTAGGAATTTATATCAAGTGTTGATCAATGCGTTTTGATTTTGTAGACTCGACTATACTGACACCTAGTGGGCGATTCTCACCGGTGGACGACGGCCTCATCATCCACGATGTTAAGATTGCTGATGCTGGGATGTATGGTTGCCAGGCAACAAATGAAGCTGGAGAGGCATCATCACAGGCAGAGCTAGTCGTGTTAGGTACAAGTTTTACCAGCAGCATTTCTTTTTAATCTCTCTTTTATTTTTTACCTCTAAATAAATGTGAAAAAAAATGTTCTTGTCATAAGGATGAGGTATTATAATCAGAATATTATTTGTTTGCTTTTTTCTGACTAGATTGGGTTGGTCGGTTGGTAAAGTATTTCATTTGCATTCAGAATAATTTCAGATTTTAGAAAAAAATATTCATCATGCCTAATAGTTAGTCAGTTACTCTTAATTTTGTATCGCTTATATGTTGTGGTTCTAAATAATAAAATACATATATATTTGTAATAATACTGAATTAGCATATTAGATATATATTCATTGAATCTGTTTTTCTTTTGGTCATAAAATAATTTTGAAATTGCAATTGCTAGAGTTGGTTGAGTAGGGCCAACGTTTGAGGGTTAGTTGACTGATTTTAAATATTCAATAACTTCACTTAAGCCTGAAACACTAGTCAGTGGCTATTGGATTGAATTGTTCTGTCAATGTTGGATAAATTGAAGGATATATATAACAAAAGCAGGAACTTCTTCAATATTATTTGTTTCTATTCTTGGGAACATATGATTTATTTAAAAAAATATATACATATCCTCTATTATATTCTTGTTCAGTGTAATGATGAGGTGTATGCTTGGTTCTATTTTCAGCGACTCCGTTCTTCCTCCAGATCCCCGAGGACCAAGTGGTTCTGGCCGGCCAGGGCTTCAACCTGACTTGTGAAGTTGATGGGAACCCTAAACCCTCTGTAGACTGGCTCTTCAATGTAGGTCCTACCAGCTGCCTTCAATAAATGTATCATTGGTTTGATGTCGGAATAACAAAACCATTCAGTTTTTTGTTTTTGTATAACTAGAGTTCTGTTAACAGCTTTAGTGTCGTTTAATGTTGTGTTGGCATTAACCTAAATATTTACAAGTCAAAGCAGTAATGATTTTTTTCAATTTTGTGTTTATTTGGTTTATGTATATGTAGAATTTCTAAGCTTGGAAGGTTTGGGCTTGTGTCAAATGTTAGGATTCTTTGTAATGTTAAAAACAATTGTGCCAAGTCTGGCTAATTAAACTGTACTAGTATCTCAAAAGACCAGAATTTAAACCACACATAAAAATATTATCGTTTTTCATAATTTTTGTTTCAGAGTACCAATCTGTTCCCACCCGGGATCTTCGTGTCTCTAGATAAGCGCCACCTTCAGGTGACGGACACCTCGTGGCTACACGTGGGTAAATACACGTGTGTAGCGGCCAGTATGGAGGGGGCCATCAGTTCCACGGCTATCATAGCTCTACATGGTGTGTAAAACCTATCAATTGTACACTAATTCAAATAGCTACTCTGATTTATCATCAAATAGATTATTATAATTTAATAAGGAAAAAATGTACTAATGATGTAACTCAATCATAAACTTTGTAATTTTACAAATTTTGTTAGAAGAGTCACCACATGGAAAAAAATAACAATTTTGCTAAATGTAACCTGTTAGTGTATATATATATAATACCATTTAGTAGAATGATTTTGAAAGAGTTGTGACATTTCTAATTTTTATTTATGTTAACTCATTCACTCCTGAATTCGAAGACGCATTTAAACTCTTCCAATTTAAAGTTTGGGATAGTTCATTGTGAAATTTCAGGGGTGAATGAGTTAAATACCTGTATATAGTAATAAACACTGCCGTTGATGCATGATTATAGATACTAATAACATTCTGTTTATCAGTGCCACCCCGGGTGTACAGAATTGTGGGTAATGCTATCGTTTACGTGACCAACGACCTGGAACTAACATGTCTGGTAGATGGAGTCCCTGCTCCCGCCATTAACTGGAGACACGACGGTCAGCAGCTCGGACCGTCATTTGATGGGCGTGTCTCGTACCCGGAGAGACACCGACTACTGGTCAAGGTGGCAGGGTCCTCTGACGCAGGTTTGTGATAGGTTGTTGTTCACGTTGTTTACAATGTTAATATTAATATTATGTTAAACGTATTTAAACAATTTCATAATGCTGTTGGTCATTAAAGCTGTATTAATTGTTTAAAGATTCCTTTTGAAATGCTTAACTTATGTGAGTGGAATGAACTATTGCATACTTCACCTCAGATTGTTTTATTTTATAATGACTGGCAAACTTATTAACAGATTGACTTGTAGTAATGGTTGATAAACCATTCACAAGACTTGTTTTTCTTTTCATTACAGAATGTATATCATTGTTCCATGTGTGATTTCTTTTCACTGTAGGAGAATACAAGTGTATAGCTGACAATTTAGCTGGAAGGTCAGAGCTGACCATTGATGTGTTCGTTATTGGTAAGAATTCATATACACCACAGCAAAAACATCAGATCCAAGTAATCCAAATTTTGGTATATTCTAACTGAATTATCTAACATCTTACAGGTTTAAAATAGGAGCATGTTAAAGAGAAAAAAACACCTTTTGTCACTGTGAATAAAAATGCTATATTATCTTTTTAATATTGTAAATTGAACAGTATAATAAACAATTCAATAAATCATTAATACTGATTGCTCATCTCTAATAACAATTTCTAGATTATTATTTAATGAGACATTCATGATGTTTAATTGTAAAATAAAAATAAAACATGAAAATAAAATTAATGTAACAATTGTTCATTGAATTTCTGATCAAATGAATTATTTTCTTTGTATTTGCTTGTCTTAAATTGAAATTAAATTGTTTATCTTATAAATATCTTAAAATCGATAATATTACGAAGTATGATCACTTGGTTTTACTATGTATATGTATGTATTGTATCATTGATATGGATATAGGGGCAAATATTTGCCTGCGTCCATATTTATTCCTATTTAATCCTTTTATAAATCCTGTTAAATATTTAGAGCCCCCCATCCCTCCCCAGTTGATGGACCCGTCCCCGGTGTCGTCCTCTGCCATACAAGTGACTTGGAAACCTGTCACACAGAAAACCCACACGATCGTGTCACAGTATGTCCTCTACTACAAGGAAAAGTAAGTACTTCACAACATTTCTTTCCTCTTAAGATACATATATGGATAGTTATCTCATAAATCTGTAAATTGAAATATTTTGTATTTTTCAGACCGTTAACTCTTACTTAGTACATTTGTATTGTTATATCTTGAGTTCATTCTATACTGGCAGATAGTTAAGTATAATGTAGATATTTTGGTATATGTTCTGTAAGTGTTAAGTGATCTTTTTTCAAAAAGTTAACATGAAAAATGTTAATCAATTTTAGAATGGTTACTGAAACTTAATTAGTTAAACAGGAATGTGCCTTAATTTTAATGACTGAGTAAAGGAAATTAATGTATATCAGGAAGTCTTTGCCCCAGTTTTAACTTTCGCCTTTTTCGCCCACCGTGATTAGGGGGTTGCAGTTAATTATATCACTACGACAGTGAAAATAGGTACACAACATAATATACATAGTAATAACATTGGAATGTTAAACACTGCACTGCAAAACACTGCAAGGAATTGGATTCTGCCAGGAAAGGGCGCACATTTGACTGGGCAATAGTTTCCTGGCACACAGTAGCATATTTATTATATTATAAAAAATCTGAAATATCTAAAAAGTTTAAAAAAAAACCATTAATTTAAACCCTTAATGTTAATTATTTAAAGACATATTCAAAATTAAAAATAGAAGCTAAAACTATCACACACCCACAGATGTTTTAGCTATTACAGAAAGCCTTGATGGTCCTGTTTTATATTCCAGGTTAGACTTGGACTATAGTAGGCACCCTGCCATTATCCTGGGCACAGAGACAGTGTTCCTGGTGCAGTACCTTACCCCGGGGGCGGAGTACTTCTTCACTATGTCAGCTGTTAACACTGCTGGGGAAGGGGCCCGCAGCAACGTCAAAATCGCAAAGACATTCGACTCAGGTATGTTAGGAGACTATACTTATCAAAGATAGTTTACTCAGGATATATATAAGGAGGCTTAATTTATACTCACCTAGTTTCCTGAAAAAAAGGGGAAATATTGATTATAAAATGCTGTGAAAATTTTAAGGTGATTAGAACTAATTATTCTGGACAAGTTGTTGTGTATTTGCTGTGAATCATTATAAATCTGGTAAAGTTTGTCTTCTGAAAATATCATCCTTGAAAGTGAAACTTTGCTGTTTTAAATCCAATTGTACAGGATAGATATTGTAAGTAATTCAACTCCGAAGCATCAGCTTTCAGAAAACAGTGTTTCTACACAATTGACTATCAAAAAGTCGTTGTCCTAGTCCAGGATTGATGTTCAGAAAGCAAGATGTCCACACGTTGGACTTACACACAGTGAAGTGTCTATGTGATATGTATTGTGTACACAGATACAATTACTAACACAGAGATATTTTCCTTACAGGTCCATCAGCTCCCAGGAATCTACATGTGAAAGACATCGGCCCCTCTCAGGTGGAGCTGATGTGGGAAATCCCAGCTCAGACCAACGGCGAGATAAGGAAGTACAGGATCTGGTACAGACCGAGGAATGGGGGACTTAGTAAGTACGATCGGAGAGGCTTTGTCAGGAAAAAATGAGATCAGAGAGGTTTTGTCAGGAAAAACTGAGATCAGAGAGGCTTTGTCAGGAAAAACTGAGATCAGAGAGGCTTTGTCAGGAAATATTTAATACAACTTTTTAGCTATTATTTCCCTGCTATGCAACATAGTATGTGTATGATGTTGTTGTCTCATCCCTTCATCTGAGATTGGATTCAGGAGCTTAAGGTAGTGACCTTACACAGTGATATTCAAGAGACTCCTAATTCTTTTGTGAATGAAAAGTAACATCTTTATTCAAAAACAAAGACTTGAACTCATATGTACCAACCAACAGAATGTCCCTCAGACTCTGTGTCATCACTCAACGGATTTTCACATCTCACAAATTTTTGCATCGGACGTACGTTTGAGTATTGCCATCCGTGGTCCAAAGTCAAGGTCACCAGTTCAGGATTTAGTAATAACTCTAGCAGTGATCACATTCATGATATATATTTCCAGGGGATTTGAAGAGGAGCTAGGTAGAAATGTTTGACAAAGGAAAAGAGTATTGCATTTGGTCAAAAGTCAAGGTCACTGTTAATGATAATAGAAGTTTGCAAAAAGTGGCTTGTGGTCAAGCAAGGTATATTAATTGTAAGCTGCTAGTTAAGAAAGGTATTTATAATGATTTAGTGTAATACAGGTTTTTAACCAGTGTCCTGTGTTGATATTTTGCATCTAATATTTCAATTTTGAGGAAATTACGTCATTGTTTGCTTCAGGTCCGAAGACTGTGGAATTCTTTATTAATGGACTGGTGGTCGCCCCGACCTATACTGTGATGAACCTTGACCCCTACACTGATCACGAGTTCTCTGTCCAGGGAGCCACCATAGAGAATGGGTTGGAGTTGTGGGGAAACCTGTCCACCACCATCGACACCAGGACAGGTGTCACAGGTAAATCATATAATAGTATTACAGGTATGTCACAAGGTGAAGAAGGAGGGGAAACCTGTCCACCACCATCGACACCAGGACAGGTGTCACAGGTAAATCATATAATAGTATCACAGGTATGTCACAAGGTGAGGAAGGAAGGGAAACCTGTCCACCACCATCGACACTAGGACAGGTGTCACAGGTAAATTATATAATAGTATCACAGGTATGTCACAAGGAGAGGAAGGAAGGGAAACCTGTCCACCACCATCGACACTAGGACAGGTGTCACAGGGAAATTATATAATAGTATCACAGGTATGTCACAAGGTTACTAAGGAGGGGAAACCTGTCCACCACCATCGACACAAGGAAAGGTGTCACAGGTAAATTATATAATAGTATCACAGGTATGTCACAAGGTGAGGAAGGAGGGGAAACCTGTTCACCACCATCGACACAAGGACAGGTGTCACAGGTAAATCATATAATAGTATCACAGGTATGTCACAAGGTCACTAAGGAAGGGAAACCTGTTCACCACCATCGACACAAGGACAGGTGTCACAGGTAAATCATATAATAGTATCACAGGTATGTCACAAGGTGAGGAAGGAGGGGAAACCTGTCCACCACCATCGATACAAGGACAGGTGTCACAGGTAAATTATTGCAGGTAAATCTTAAAGACAGGTGTCACAGGTTTGTTACAGGGGGAGGAGGGAGGGAGAACCTGTCCATCACAATAGATACAAAGAAAGGTGTCACAGGTATGTTATACAGGACAGAGGGAGGTTGGAGGAAGGGGGGCTGGAAAGAGGAAGAAAGGGTAGGGGGTGTTGAGACTTAAACATTATGTCAGAACACTGGTACTGTATCTCAGGAATATATAAAGGAATTACTCGATTGTAAAAACCGCTTTACAGCTAGTTAACACTAATACCTGAACAAGAAAATGTGTATCCTTTTGTAGAATCAAACTATAGTGTAATACCAAAGCACATATATAGCCTTGACCATTCTATTTGATGCATTTTATTATGATGACCTTCACAAATATTTATGACCTTGACCATGAAAGACCTTGTTATGTATTTACAGCCCCGAGTGGCAGTCCAGTGGACCTGATGGTAATCGCTCAGTCACCCTACGTTGTGCAGGTCACCTGGAATGTGAGTATTGTCACATAAGGCAAGGAGATATCTACCGTCTGGTAGTAGATAACTTATAGGAGTTATTTCAGAGTATCTCTACTTTATTATCCCCCGCTTTCACCGTAACTGGGGATATTGATTTGGGTTTGACTGTCCGTCTGTCGATCTGTCTGTCTGTCTGTCACGCTTCGTTACCATGCAATAACTGCAACAATTAAATAAGAACCAAACTTTCTTCAAACTTTGTAACAGGGTTAAATGCTTTAAGGGCTTGGCTTAGTTCGATGACCACTTTCAGCAGACTTTATTTGCCGGAGTTATGGCCCCTTGAATAACGAAAAACATCATTATCTGCTGTTTCCATGCAATAACTGCAACAAATGTTAACCAATTTTCTTCAGACTTGGTAACAGGGTTAAATGCCTTAAGGGCTCGACCAAGTTTTCTTTGAGTTTTAATATAAATTCCAAGAATTTGCTTGTTAGCCTTGAAACACCGTTTTGAGATGTGCTCTAACAGTTATACATCATGTTCTAATCTCCTTTAGTACCTTAATTTTGTTATGGTGTTGATGTTATAAAACTGTTTGACATCTCAAAACAATTGACAAATGAAATTTAAGAAGTGAAGTGCAAAAGTTCCTATTAAGTTTATTCAATAGTAAAGGATGTAAAATAGTTAAGTTAAGGATAAGAAGTGTATTTTGAAATTACCAAACCTGTCACACAATTATACAAAGACAGCCTGGTGTTTCAACATGTCTGACTGGTGTGTTATTTTTCAGCCTGTCCCCTTGCCCTTACAACATGGCCCTATTACAAAATATCATGTCCGCTATCGACCTGCTGCGACCTTCACCTTCCTGTCGGACATTGTCGTCAACAACGGCAGCCTTAAGGTCAATGTCACTGGGCTGTTGCCGTGGAGCTGGTACTCTTTCCTGGTCGTGGCTGAGAACGCTGGTGGTTTGGGGCCACCGTCCAGTGAGATTGTTGTCCGCACCAAACAAGCCGGTAGGTAGTGAGGGATTGTCTAAATCGCTGTGAAAATAGCAGGAAAATATGAACTGCACATTTTACTCTTACAGAAAATGTGGAGTCTATAATTAAGTTATACATCTGTTGATATGCCATGTCGATATCTTTATGACATCCAATAGATTGTGTGAGTGGTTTATTTTCATGATTTGTACTTAGTTTTAATTGGATAATTTTTTGCTCCACTAGTTTTTGTGTTGTTTTAACATTTTAGCAAATATGTTCTCACAATTTTGAATTCATGGATACAGTTACAAGACTATGAATGTAGTAAAAACCTTCTATACAGTATTTCAATATCTGATCCAGTATGATACATTGAAGGGCTGGTGATTGTAAGCTGGTGTGTAAGTTTTTAAAACAACTTCTTCTAATAAACTATGAAACCTAGAGTCATAATAACATGTACTATTTTGGATGAAGACTATCAAACATTTTCAAGTGACTCACGTTCAGAGTCACTCTTCTAGAAAAAGTTTCCAATATGTTAAAATTTGGAACATTTTTTCTAACAAAACATGAGGCATAGAGTCATTGTGATCACAAAAATCTGCTATCGTATTTGTAAAATAAATTACCTTGATACACTTTCAAGGTCATAATTAAGTTGTGTTAAAATCTTCTAACATCTTCTGATGATCCTGAGTATTTTGTCAGTTGGTTACTATATGAAGGGCTATTAAATTAGGTCATACAACTACCTTGACATCCATTTCTACTAACTTCTGTTGAAGCGTCTAGGTGAGTGATACAGGCCATATGTGCCTCTTGTTTTAGCATTTAGAATTGAATGCTCATTACTGACCAGAAAATTATTTCTCCTTCATTGTAAAGCACCATCTGGAAAACCAGTCAACCTAGTTGTTGAAGCCATTTCTATGGATACCATCAAGGTGATGTTTAGTGTAAGTACATTTTACTCATCAGCTGACTTTAGCTTGAGATTTGGGATTCAACATGGCTGCCACAGCCTCTGATTGGCTCATACAACTATGTTTCTAACACAAGTTCTATCAGGCTGATTTTCTTTATATTTTTTATGAGTGATACAAAGAATAAACTGCATATGAAACAATGGACATGCAAGTTTCTGGATTAAAGATCGCTGATATGCTGTAGAATTTATCAAAACATCTATGCCTTTAAGTTTATCTGTGTTTGGCAGATGTAAATGCCATCATCTGTAATGTATCCTATGTGACTGTAGGGTAATTTTACGGGACATGTTTATATCTGGACTTGTAATGTGTCTACAGCTACCAGACCCTGGGGGGTAATTTTACGGGACATGTTTATATCTGGACTTGTAATGTGTCTACAGCTACCAGACCCTGGGGGGTAATTTTACGGGACATGTTTATATCTGGACTTGTAATGTGTCTACAGCTACCAGACCCTGGGGGGTAATTTTACGGGACATGTTTATATCTGGACTTGTAATGTGTCTACAGCTACCAGACCCTGGGGGGTAATTTTACGGGACATGTTTATATCTGGACTTGTAATGTGTCTACAGCTACCAGACCCTGGGGGGTAATTTTACGGGACATGTTTATATCTGGACTTGTAATGTGTCTACAGCTACCAGACCCTGGGGGGTAATTTTACGGGACATGTTTATATCTGGACTTGTAATGTGTCTACAGCTACCAGACCCTGGGGGGTAATTTTACGGGACATGTTTATATCTGGACTTGTAATGTGTCTACAGCTACCAGACCCTGGGGGGTAATTTTACGGGACATGTTTATATCTGGACTTGTAATGTGTCTACAGCTACCAGACCCTGGGGGGTAATTTTACGGGACATGTTTATATCTGGACTTGTAATGTGTCTACAGCTACCAGACCCTGGGGGGTAATTTTACGGGACATGTTTATATCTGGACTTGTAATGTGTCTACAGCTACCAGACCCTGGGGGGTAATTTTACGGGACATGTTTATATCTGGACTTGTAATGTGTCTACAGCTACCAGACCCTGGGGGGTAATTTTACGGGACATGTTTATATCTGGACTTGTAATGTGTCTACAGCTACCAGACCCTGGGGGGTAATTTTACGGGACATGTTTATATCTGGACTTGTAATGTGTCTACAGCTACCAGACCCTGGGGGGTAATTTTACGGGACATGTTTATATCTGGACTTGTAATGTGTCTACAGCTACCAGACCCTGGGGGGTAATTTTACGGGACATGTTTATATCTGGACTTGTAATGTGTCTACAGCTACCAGACCCTGGGGGGTAATTTTACGGGACATGTTTATATCTGGACTTGTAATGTGTCTACAGCTACCAGACCCTGGGGGGTAATTTTACGGGACATGTTTATATCTGGACTTGTAATGTGTCTACAGCTACCAGACCCTGGGGGGTAATTTTACGGGACATGTTTATATCTGGACTTGTAATGTGTCTACAGCTACCAGACCCTGGGGGGTAATTTTACGGGACATGTTTATATCTGGACTTGTAATGTGTCTACAGCTACCAGACCCTGGGGGGTAATTTTACGGGACATGTTTATATCTGGACTTGTAATGTGTCTACAGCTACCAGACCCTGGGGGGTAATTTTACGGGACATGTTTATATCTGGACTTGTAATGTGTCTACAGCTACCAGACCCTGGGGGGTAATTTTACGGGACATGTTTATATCTGGACTTGTAATGTGTCTACAGCTACCAGACCCTGGGGGGTAATTTTACGGGACATGTTTATATCTGGACTTGTAATGTGTCTACAGCTACCAGACCCTGGGGGGTAATTTTACGGGACATGTTTATATCTGGACTTGTAATGTGTCTACAGCTACCAGACCCTGGGGGGTAATTTTACGGGACATGTTTATATCTGGACTTGTAATGTGTCTACAGCTACCAGACCCTGGGGGGTAATTTTACGGGACATGTTTATATCTGGACTTGTAATGTGTCTACAGCTACCAGACCCTGGGGGGTAATTTTACGGGACATGTTTATATCTGGACTTGTAATGTGTCTACAGCTACCAGACCCTGGGGGGTAATTTTACGGGACATGTTTATATCTGGACTTGTAATGTGTCTACAGCTACCAGACCCTGGGGGGTAATTTTACGGGACATGTTTATATCTGGACTTGTAATGTGTCTACAGCTACCAGACCCTGGGGGGTAATTTTACGGGACATGTTTATATCTGGACTTGTAATGTGTCTACAGCTACCAGACCCTGGGGGGTAATTTTACGGGACATGTTTATATCTGGACTTGTAATGTGTCTACAGCTACCAGACCCTGGGGGGTAATTTTACGGGACATGTTTATATCTGGACTTGTAATGTGTCTACAGCTACCAGACCCTGGGGGGTAATTTTACGGGACATGTTTATATCTGGACTTGTAATGTGTCTACAGCTACCAGACCCTGGGGGGTAATTTTACGGGACATGTTTATATCTGGACTTGTAATGTGTCTACAGCTACCAGACCCTGGGGGGTAATTTTACGGGACATGTTTATATCTTGACTTGTAATGTGTCTACAGCTACCAGACCCTGGGGGGTAATTTTACGGGACATGTTTATATCTGGACTTGTAATGTGTGTACAGCTACCAGACCCTGCTGGGTAATTTTACGGGACATGTTTATATCTGGACCTGTAATGTGTGCACAGCTACCAGACCCTGCGGGGTAATTTTACGGGACATATTTATATCTGGACCTGTAATGTGTGTACAGCTACCAGACCCTGGGTGGTATTTTTACGGGACATGTTTATATCTGGACCTGTAATGTGTCTACAGCTACCAGACCCTAGGCCTGGGGGGTAATTTTACGGGACATGTTTATATCTGGACCTGTAATATGTATACAGCTACCAGACCCTGGGGGGGAATTTTACGGGACATGTTTATATCTGGACTTGTAATGTCTACAGCTACCCGACCCTGGGGGGGAATTTTACGGGACATGTTTATATCTGGACTTGGAATGTGTCTACAGCTACCAGACCCTGGGGGGGAATTTTACGGGACATGTTTATATCTGGACTTGGAATGTGTCTACAGCTACCAGACCCTGGGGGGGAATTTTACGGGACATGTTTATATCTGGACTTGTAATGTGTCTACAGCTACCAGACCCTGAGGGGTAATTTTACTGGACATGTTTATATCTGGACTTGTAATGTGTCTACAGCTACCAGACCCTGGGGGGTAATTTTACGGGACATGTTTATATCTGGACCTGTAATGTGTCTACAGCTGCCAGACCCTGTGGGGTAATTTTATGGGACATGTTTATATCTGGACCTGTAATGTGTCCACAGCTACCAGACCCTGCGAGATAATTTTACGGTACATGTTTATATCTGGCCCTGTAATGTGTCTACAGCTACCAGTCCCTGGGGGGTAATTTTACGGTACATGTTTATATCTACAGCTACCAGACCCTGGGGGGCAATTTTACGGGACATGTTTATATATGGACCTGTAATGTGTCTACAGCTACCAGTCCCTGGGGGGTAATTTTACGGTACATGTTTATATCTGGCCCTGTAATGTGTCTACAGCTACCAGCCCCTGGGGGGTAATTTTACGGGACATGATTATATCTGGACCTGTAATGTGTCTACAGCTACCAGACCCTGCGAGATAATTTTACGGTACATGTTTATATCTGGACCTGTAATGTGTCTACAGCTACCAGACCCTTGTTTATATCTGGACTTGTAATGTGTGTACAGCTACCAGACCCTGGGGGGTAATTTTACGGAACATGTTTATATCTGGACCTGTAATGTGTCTACAGCCACCAGACCCTGGGGGGTAATTTTACGGGACATGTCTATATCTGGACCTGTAATGTGTCTACAGCTACCAGCCCCTGGGGGGTAATTTTACGGGGCATGTTTATATCTGGACCTGTAATGTGTCTACAGCTTCCAGACCCTGGGGGGTAATTTTACGGGACATTTTTATATCTGGACTTGTAATGTGTCTACAGCAATGTGTCTACAGCTACCAGACCCTGGGGGGGAATTTTACTGGACATGGTTATATCTGGACTTGTAATGTGTCTACAGCTCCCAGACCCTGGGGGGTAATTTTACGGGACATTTTTATATCTGGACTTGTAATGTGTCTACAGCTCCCAGACCCTGGGGGGTAATTTTACGGGACATTTTTATATCTGGACTTGTAATGTGTCTACAGCTACCAGCCCCTGGGGGGTAATTTTACGGGACATGTTTACATCTGGACCTGTAATGTGTCTACAGCTACCAGCCCCTGGGTGGTAATTTTACGGGACATGTTTATATCTGGACTTGTAATGTGTCTACAGCTGCCAGACCCTGGGGGGTAATTTTACGGGACATTTTTATATCTGGACTTGTAATGTGTCTACAGCAATGTGTCTACAGCTACCAGACCCTGGGGGGGAATTTTACGGGACATGTTTATATCTGGACCTGTAAAGTGTCTACAGCTACCAGACCCTGGGGGGTAAGTTTACGGGACATGTTTATATCTGGACCTGTAAAGTGTCTACAGCTACCAGACCCTGGGGGGTAAGTTTACGGGACATGTTTATATCTGGACCTGTAAAGTGTCTACAGCTACCAGACCCTGGGGGGTAATTTTCCGGGACATGTTTATATCTGGACTTGTAATGTGTCTACCGCTACCAGACCCTGGGGGGTAATTTTACGGCACATGTTTATATCTGGACTTGTAATGTGTGTACAGCTACCAGACCCTGGGGGGTAATTTTACGGCACATGTTTATATCTGGACTTGTAATGTGTGTACAGCTACCAGACCCTGGGGGGTAATTTTATGGGACATGTTTATTTCTTAACTTGTAATGTGTCTACAGCTACCAGACCCTGAGGGGTAATTTTACGGGACATGTTTATATCTGGACTTGTAATGTGTCTACCGCTACCAGACCCTGGGGGGTAATTTTACGGGACACGTTTATATCTGGACCTGTAATGTGTCTACAGCTTCCAGACCCTGGGGGGTAATTTTACGGGACATGGTTATATCTGGACTTGTAATGTGTCTACAGCTACCAGGCCCTGGGGGGTAATTTTACGGGACATGTTTATATCTGGACTTGTAATGTGTCTACAGCTACCAGACCCTGCCACATGGAACAGTGAACTGACTGGGTTTTTGGTGGAGTACGGTAAACATGGTGATAGTCAAGACAAGTCGGAAACGATCAACACATATAACCTCGACTCCCTCAGCCTCAATATCAGGTAACTTAGTTGTTGTTTTAAACATCAATTCTGAAGGTCTTTATCAACCATTTATGTTGATAGACAGAAGTTTTCAGTTGTTGAGTTATTATTTTTTCCAAAAGAAAAATGCTCGCTGTTAGAAGGTTGCTGGTACAATACCATAATGTATGCACAGTGCGTCTATAATTTGTACATTAGTTTGATGACTTTATATAAATGTATGATTAAAAATACCACAAGGATGTATGTACTTTGTTTGATTTTAGGATTGTTTATTACCATGCCACTACTTAGAGTATCTACTCCCATGATCTATTACAGGATTTGTAATAGAGTTGTCTCCCTGAAACAATGTTAGAGTATTATCATCATCATCATCATCATCAATATAGTAAAAACTATGTAAACTACAGTCAGTTGTGAAGCAAACCTTAGCATTGTAACTGGAAACATTGGCAATACCTCTAGAGGAAGTACATGTATACTAAGAAAATTTTGGAACTATTAAGTTGGGAAATGAAACAAGTGGCATTATGGATTGTAGATAGTTTTATGAACTTGTGTAACATTCAGAGAAGTTATCAAGGCACAAATTATCATTTATGTAATATTTATTGAACTTGTTTTTAAGTGTGGAATTCTTTTGTGAAAAATGAATAAATATCACATCAGGTAGCATACAGCCTTAAGTGTTCTCTATATACTCATCATTGATAATAAATTAGAAATGTTTGCCTGGTCATGTTTTGCCCCTTAAACAAGGGGGGATAATCTAATATGTGGTGGAAATATTGTATACCGTATTTGATGTAATAAAGGTGCCTGTTCTAATGAGGTCGCATAGTTAGCAATATGATAATGATACATGATGTACGGGCAAATTCACAAAAACTTAAACAATTTGTTAATATAAGGTCGGGGGGTGTGAAGATTTAGTGGAAACATAACAGCTTACAGTATTTGTATGTTATGTTGGCAGTAACCTGGCGTCGTGGACTCGGTACGAGGTGAGAGTGGCTCTGATCTCTGGCCCCTTCAACACCTTACAGGGGCCATTCACAGACTGGATCCTTGTCAAAACCAAGGAAGCAGGTAATAACCAGTGTGTAATGATTGTCAACACACAGATTAATTCGTCTTAGATCAGTTACAACATTTACACAGATTTAATTTGTTGTTTTCTCCTTACCTGGAATGGAGTATGGTCAAATTGAAATGCAAGTAGGCCTAGGGTTGGAATCATTAATTGATAGTATTACAATGTTACACAAGTCACAAAAATGAAGTATATTTAATATCAAGGATTGGCAAGATATTAAAAAGTATCTGTTGCTGGTGGTGAATGTATCAGAATATGAATTTGTTTACAATGATGGGTTTCTTTGAGTCATCAGAAAACCCGACTAATTTGTCATGAAAGGCTATGCCCGCCCTCTTACTAACAAGTTTGATCTCCTGTCAATTCTGTGTTTTGTTTTTGGCTTAACTAATATGAAATACCTGTGACGTTATGCGATGGTGATCGAGGCAATTGTCAACATTAAACAACTTCCATAAAAACATGTAACAACTTGCATAAGGCATAGGGCAATCATATTAATATTTCGCATGTAGGTTGCTCTCCAGGTAAATGGCAATCAGCTTTTATCAAATCTCCTTCGTGAGATCCTCATTTTTGGAGTCGGTCATGTAGCTTACTACAGTGAAGAGCTGTCAGTTTTGTTTAAATAAGTGACCGTGACCTTCATTCAAATGACAAAAGTCTAATGCGGTAAAATTTTCAAGCAACTTCCTCTAATGAACTGTGAGGCCTAAAGTTGACATGTACCTTGTTTGAGTGAGATGTAATGAAGTTTATTGAAATTAATGACCTTGAAGAACATTATTCAAGGTCACAAAATATGTTAAAATCTTTAGATGGAACATTGTGTCTCAAGTAATACTAATAATAATAGGGGACTATCAGTGTGTACACAGAGATAAACTTGACCCATAATTAAAATGATACAAGTCAAATGTATTGAAATCTTCAAACAACTCTTATAAACCGCAGTGCTTGGAGTCACTCACCGAAGTTAGTTGTTGATTACAAATAAATGATAGCATCCAATATGACCTCTGTTGCTGTAGTTTCTGGGTTGGCTGATATTATGATCAAATAACAGGTTATTGAATCGGGCCTCAAGGGCCTCTTGTTCTTACTTAAGTGATATATTTCTCAAATGTATATTCTTATTATCTTTTAGTGGCAGGAACAGTGAGGAATATTCGTTTTACCACAACCCCCACCAGTATTACTTTGAACTGGGACCCCCCTTCAGAACTAAATGGAGTCATCCAGGGCTATTTTGTGGACTTCTACATCTTATCAAGTGAGGGAGGAACAGGTGTAACAAGAGTGGAAGAGAATGGGGAGGAAAATACAACAGCTGAAAACAAAATCAGTGTGAACAATGATGGAACTGAACAGGCTGTGGTTAGAAGGAGTACTGACCTTGAGAGGTCAAAGGTCATCAGTAGCAGGGTGTTGCCTGAATTCAATCTAGGTCAAAGTCCAAATGAGGATTCCACTGAAATAGACACACATTTAGTTCCACTGAAGCATTCAAACAGTTTTCTCACAGAAATGAAGCCAAGTGTTTTATTAAAGGAAGATGTCCCGTATAGTTTTACCAGTGGTATTGAACAGAAAGGCAAGAAATTAGACGAAGGCGATGTTATATCAGAAGTAGTTCAAATTTTAAACATGGATGGAAGAGTTTATATGAAAATGGCAAACAGAAACATAGGAAAAGCAGAAACATTGTCATCCAAGTTACCACACGACCTGGTCAAACGAAATGCTGACCAGTCCACAGAGAGTGACCCTCCAGATTGGGTGTTGAACGCTGACCATGATAAGCTTAAGACCACATGTAGTGTTCTTATAAATACAAATCCTTCAGCCCTTCAACTTCTAGACACCATCTTATTGAATATGAGTAAGGCCTCTGACCATAACCAAGATGATGAGGCCACAGCGCTTCTGTCGGACATCCTGGACGCTTGGTCAGCGAGGCTGGACGATGACCAGCTTGTATTAAACACTAGTACAGGACTGATGTCCCTTCAGAAGGATGTCCACACTTGGCTTCTCCAGGGAAACGTGTCCATTTGGAGTCTATGTTACAAGCTATGGGATGAAGGTTCGTCCATCAGTTTACATATATTAATGATCCTAAATGAGTTTCCTTTTCATGTAAGATTTATGAAACACATTATAGTGAGGCTCTTTTATTTTTTCTCCAAAATTGTGCATTTTTTTTAGCTCTGTCTTCAGTTTGGTCCAAGTGTGTTTGTTTATCGAGGAATATTGCTGCCCCACCTGAGCCTTTTCAACCAGGATACAAGAATGTGACCATGTACTTAAATCGGGTCTCATGCTCAGCTATATAGAGAGTTGTGGCCCTTTGTTCATTATTTTGATAATGAATTTTGTCAGGATTTTTGGGAATATTTATTGCTGGCTTGAACTTTGTCTTTTTGATGTTCGATATTTTATCTCCGTTTAATATAAAAAACATAATGACTAATTGATACCACTGTTAAAATATATCGTCAAGTCATCATTAAGTCACCAATACTACCATTTGGTGTTGACAGGTGGCGCCACCTCAGTGATATCCATGACAACTACCACAGAGGAAGCAGTTCTGCTTGACCTAGTTCCTTCCTCCACATACTCCATCACAGTTTCAGCCTATGGTGATGCAGGCAAAGGAGCTAATCGCTCCATTAACGTCACTACAGGTACAAAATCTTGTTCCTATTAAAAATGTCATTTGTGTATGTATTGCTGATTATGAATTTCAGATCTCCTTAAAAAGGTAAAAATCCAAGTGAATAACAAAAGTTTTAAGAATTTCTTAAAAAGGTAAAAATCAAAGCCAACAGAAAAGTTCTTTGGATACTGGTTTAATTAGTGTGTTAAATTGTTTCTTCTCAGACAAGTTGCCTCCCCCTCCGCCACCCCCGTCAACTCCTGCCCCTACCACCCCAACTCCAGCCCCTCTCTCAACACCAGTGGCCCTGCAGACATCAGGGGTAGATAACTCTAATGAGTTCCTGGCAGCAGTGATAGGGGGCAGTCTGGCTGGTGTTTTTCTGGTCACCATGGTGTTGGTTCTAGGTGTGTGTCTGTGTCTGAGGTGGAGGACCGTGGCTGGAACTGTGGGTAAGGAGATTTAATGTTAAATGTCGATCATAATAACATAAACGTATTGATAGTTATCAGTTGGTAAATGGTAATTACTTGATTAAGTACGAAAAATTTGAAAAAGTAGGTACTGTCTGATAACTGATAATTGATCAGTTCATTTTGATATTAACAATGAATACAGTACAAACGTTTTATTAATTTTGTATGTGATTGCAGTAGATCATTGATGATTTCTCAACCTTATATACATTTCTAAGATGGCATATGAAAACAAGACTTTCCTATGTTTCTACTACCCTTCATTCAGCTTATCAATCATGGCATTGATATTGGTTAATATATTCAACTTATTTTGTATTACAATAGATCACCTGGGTGACTGAACAACGCTACTTTTGTATTTTACGTTTTACGACAGATTTAAAAATTAACGTCATTTGTTAAGTAAATTCATTGACAGTCATACAGGACTAATGACAGCATTATACATAGTTACAGTGATCATTCATTGTTCAGGTTAAATTGTAATTCAAATTCCATTGATTTATTTCTTTACATATAGTTAGAAACAAAACACCAGACCCAATCATTCTGGATAACGATTCAAGGGCGAGTTCCTCAAGGTAAGTAGAAACATACATTTATGTAAAGCTGTATGCATAATTTCTGAAGCTTATCTCAAAGTTATTATAAGGTATACAGAGAACTTCAGGTTCAGGTATCCCTCTCGACACATACATCACACTGAACTGGTCATGGTACTAATTTATATACTGAGAACTTCAGGTTTAGGTATCCCTCTCGACACGTACATCACACTGTACTGGGCATGATACTAATTTATATACAGAGAACTTCAGGTTTAGGCATCCCTCTCGACACATACATCACACTGTACTGGACATGGTACTAATTTATATACAGAGAACTTCATGTTCAGGTATCTCTCTCGACACATACATCACACTGCACTGGTCATGGTACTAATTTATATACAGAGAACTTCAGGATCAGTCCTACCTCTCGACACATACATCACACTGCACTGGTCATGGTACTAATTTATATACTGAGAACTTCAGGTTTAGGTATCCCTCTCGACACGTACATCACACTGTACTGGTCATTGTACTAATTTATATACCGAGAACTTCAGGTTCAGGTATTCCTCTCGACACATACATCACACTGAACTGGTCATGGTACTAATTTATATACCGAGAACTTCAGGTTCAGGTATCTCTCTCGACACATACATCCCACTGTACTGGTCATGGTACTAATTTATATACAGAGAACTTCAGGTTTAGGTATCCCTCTCGACACGTACATCACACTGTACTGGTCATGATACTAATTTATATACAGAGAACTTCAGGTTCAGGTATCCCTCTCGCCACATACATCACACTGTACTGGTCATGGTACTAATTTCTGTACAGAGAACTTCAGGTTTAGGTATCCCTCTCGACATAAACATCACACTGTACTGGTCATGATACTAATTTATATACAGAGAACTTCAGGTTTAGGTATCCCTCTCGACATAAACATCACACTGTACTGGTCATGATACTAATTTATATACAGAGAACTTCAGGTTTAGGTATCCCTCTCAACACATACATCACATTGTACTGGCTGTCACAGGCATTAATTTATGGCAGGGTGACAGAAACGGCTAATTTTCACGATGCCTCGAATGTCTGTTCTTCGAAGAGTTGGATTAATGGAATGAACAGTAATGGGTTATGCCAGTTTCTTCCTTTGTTGAATAATTATGACATTGTGATCTATGGTTTAGGTTGAGGTAAAAGTATAAAAGACTTAAAATATATGAAAATTAGTGAAGTACATGCATATGATCGATCCTCCTCAGGTCTGGGTCAGGGACGTCTTCTGTGACTGAAGAAAATGGTCAGTTTGGTCAAGTGGACATCAACATTGGTGACGTCCGGTTTGATGTGGCCAGCACTTCGAGGTCACGGTCAGTTCCAGAAGTAAGTCTGTATCTTTTGTTAACAAATTAAACCCTTGAAGCAAACAGCATTTCCTGATTACCCCAGGGACAATACTGTATACCCGGATAGTTTGCCCAGTCAAACTTTGCTTTGCTGGTAAATTCTATATTCTAATTAAGTCAAAATTTCAATATCTTCAATAAGATTCATCAGTTTGGAAATATTTGATATCAAAGTTTTTCTTTCTACATAAATAATGTATGTATTAATTGTGTCACAACGTTTCAAGACCGACTGGTCAAAGCTTGACAAAGGGACCTGTTGGTCTTGAAACATTGCGACACGTTTAATGGGCACATTGTTTGTGAAGAAAGAAAAACTTTGGTATCAAGTAAAAATTTCTTTTTACAATTTAATGTTTAAAATGAGCAAACATTGCTTTTCACAAATTGGTGTTGTAGTAAGTCAGTTTTTCTTTTTCACAATTTGAATCATTGAAGTAAGTCATTAACATTTCTGTTTTTTACAATTCAATTATTGATGTAAATATTTCAATGCTGGTTTAATATGATCTTGTTAACGTAAAGAAAAAAAATCTTTTTTACAAGTTAATCCATGTAAGTAAGTCGGAGTTTTGGTTTGCTAATTAACTCTTTATGGAAATTCTGTGTTTCTTTTTAACAAATTAACTCATTAAAGTAAGTCTATATTCTTTACAAGTTAAAGCTTAGAAGGAAGTCAACATTTCTTGGTTGCAAATTGATCCTTTGAAGTAAATTGTGTTTCACAAATTCACTCATTAATGAATGAAAGTCAGTGTTTCAAACAAATTAACCCTTTGAAACAAGTCTGTGTTGTTATTTACAAATTAATCCATTAAAGAAAGGCAGTGTTTTTTGTTTACAAATTAAGATTATTGAAATATCAAAGTCACAGTTCTCGTTTGCAAAATAAATCTTTGAAGTAAATCAGTTTTTCGTCTTAAGAAAGTACTCCAATGAGTAAGTCAATGTCTTGGTTTACAAATCAAATAGTTTATGAATGAAAGTTAGTGATTTTTGTTTGTTCAGAAATTAATCCATGAAATAAAAATTGAGTCATAAATTCTTGTTTGCAAATTAAATCCTTAAAATAAAACAGTGTTTCTTGATAATAATTGACCCATTGAATAGAGCAACCATGGAAAATGGAATAAAATCAAATCTAATGATACATAGAAAATGTTCATCAATATTGTTAAGCATTATTAAGGTTAACTATTTATGAATGTTACAAGTATTTTTCCCCGATATTATTTATCAATTGTTTTGTTTAAAAGTATTGCCGGATTTATTTTCTTATATTTAAATTATGTTGATCTCTGTATGTACATTCTCCAGGGTTACGGTAGCCTGAAGGGAGCCAGTAATATGACACTACAGTTACCGAGTCTGGCTAGGAGTGCTCACTCGGTCACAGGTAAATATAGTCAAGTGTTTCCATAACCATATTACAGTTAATATTTACAGGTTTTTAGAGAAGTAATTCTTGGAGTTATTTATGTTTGGCCAGTAAAATTTTGCATTTGATACCCCATCTATAAAATCGTTGAAAATTGAATCAACATGCTGCTCTTTTAATGATTTCAATAGGAGTACAGAATCCAATGTTCATGGGGGATCACAATCACCATGGCTACCAGGAGGAAGACCAGGAATCCATGGCGGTTTCCATGGCACTTTCAGCAGAAGAAGTCTACTCACAGGTAAGCTTCCCTTAAGTCATCACTTCTCTGCAGAGGTAACTCAGAATTGTACTTCTGAAATTAGTAATATGATAATTTGTCATGGTCAACAAATGTTTGAAAAGTTCAATATCTTAAATCTTTTAATGTGTATTTCATTAATCTATAGCCTTGTGGTTAATCAAACTTTTTATGGGTAGCGTAAAATTTCCACCTTGGAAATATCTATAATGGTTTTATCATGACACTGTATTGAATCGTAAACCTCATACACCCGTTAGTAGGTGAATAAGTGTTCACTCAGTGATAGTAATTTCTTGCAAACTAGACCGAGATATCTGCATTTCCGGCGTGCTGGAAAATTCTATCCAACCCACAGGTCCAGATCGCTTACACGCGCAGACTGGCGTGGGAATTATAGTGACCTTGCGGGGTCATGCTATTGTTCGCGACGTCATTTTATGACGTTTTGGGGTCAGTCAGGGTCATTGACGTCACTAACAATTGCCATCCGGGCTTCATATGCAAATGAGAAATGTGCGGACAGTTTATAACTTTACTAGAAAAGCAACTGTTTTTACAGGTTTTAGTTAATAAGCAAGAAATAGAATCCATCTCTGATGTGAGGTAATGATAAGGTTATTCAAACCCTCGGGACAAATATTGAGCAAAATACCCTCGGCAAAGCCTTGGGTCTCCTGCTCAATATTCTATCCCTTGGGTTTGAATAATCTTATCATTACCTCACATCAGGGCTGGATTCTATTAATACAACATGGCTGCCATAATCCTGACAAGACATAACACTGCTGGAGGTATAAGAAACTCCTATCTAGGTGGCGTTCCATGATAATGTACATGATGTTTTATAAGGCTTTAATGAAATTCTGTTTTAAAAATATATTGTTCTGTGAGGTTTGTGATTCTGATCAAATAATACAGATGTTTTAGGTAGTTTAAGTTGCAAAAATTAAAAACTACAAAATACACTTATGTTTGGAATAAATCTACGAAAAGTCCCACCTGTGAAAATACCCAGTGATACATAATGGTGTGAACTTCTTTGACAGGCAAGCAACACGCTGAAAAGGAAGAACCGCATGCGGAGTGAGTCGGCGGCGGCCATAGCTGTGATGAGAACAAGTGCTATCCCCGACATAGGAACACATCACGGAAACGATACGGACAATCTCATAAAGAACGATTCAGTGGTGGTTTACACAGAGAGAACAGCACTGTGAACTTAGATCATACTCAGTGGAGGAACTTTGTCTCAGGAATCTGGAGAAGAACGTTTTTTCTGAGTGAGGTTTTGTCTGATGTAGGCCTTGTGTATTGTAAGTTACAGCTATCTTTGGTCTGACAATACCTTTACCAGCTTTTGGCAGGTGAATACGATCTCAGAAAAGTAGCCGAGGAGGTTAAGTTCATACATGTGTTCCGAGTTGGATAGCAAATGATATTTGTCCTTCATCGCTGCAGTAGTGTGCCATGTGACATTTGATAGAATCGCAAGAGTTTAAGTTGAAAGTAAGGTTGAGATATGCATGTTCAGAAAGATATTGATAATAATTGATCTGAACACCTCATATGTATGATGTACTGGAAGACCCAAGTTCTGTCTCAGTCAGTAATTGAGAGATTGTCATCTTTTGTAGAAATTAGAAAATGTAAAGGGAAATGACAGACATTTGAGCAATTGGTTTATATGTGCGTATACTGGTTTTCACTTGACTGAGTGAAAAACCCAGAACGAACTGAATCGGATCGAATGTACAGAATCAAAAGCTTATTATCACCTTGTGGCTCGCTCCCCTTTCTATCACTTTGGACAAAGCCTGGCTCCCCTTTCCAACTGTTGACAATGCCTGTCTCCACTTTCCAACTGTTTGGACTAAGCCTGGCTCCCCTTTCCAACTGTTTGGACAAAGCCTAGCTCCCCTTTCCAACTCTTTGGACAAAGCCTGGCTCCCCTTTCCAACTCTTTGGACAAAGCCTGGCTCCCCTTTCCAACTCTTTGGACAAAGCCTGGCTCCCCTTTCCAACTCTTTGGACAAAGCCTGGCTCCCCTTTCCAACTCTTTGGACAAAGCCTGGCTCCCCTTTCCAACTCTTTGGACAAAGCCTGGCTCCCCTTTCCAACTCTTTGGACAAAGCCTGGCTCCCCTTTCCAACTCTTTGGACAAAGCCTGGCTCCCCTTTCCAACTCTTTGGACAAAGCCTAGCTCCCCTTTCCAACTCTTTGGACAAAGCCTGGCTCCCCTTTCCAACTCTTTGGACAAAGCCTGGCTCCCCTTTCCAACTCTTTGGACAAAGCCTGGCTCCCCTTTCCAACTCTTTGGACAAAGCCTGGCTCCCCTTTCCAACTCTTTGGACAAAGCCTGGCTCCCCTTTCCAACTCTTTGGACAAAGCCTGGCTCCCCTTTCCAAATCTTGGGACAAAGCCTGGCTCCCCTTTCCAACTCTTTGGACAAATCCTGGCTCCCCCTTTCTATCACTTTGGACAAAGCCTGGCTCCCCTTTCCAACTCTTTGGACAAAGCTCTTTGGACAAAGCCTGGCTCCCCTTTCCAACTCTTTGGACAAAGCCTGGCTCCTCTTTCTATTTTGTTACGTAAGTCCAACTTCACAGGTCTGTGAATGAGTAATTATGAAGCAAAGGGACTGTGTTGGAAAATTAGTTTGCTTACAAATCAATAGTTCTGATTCAGATGGAAATTAAATTTTGACTTTTTGAAATTTCTTTGCAAGCCCATTCTAGATAGTATACCAAACTGTGTAAATGAGTATGGTATCAGCATGAGAAAAAAGCTTGAAACTGGCACCTCCTTTTATGAGGATGACAGTGGTATTGAACTGTTACAGCAGTTTTATATATGTTTATTTCAATAATGATAAATACATGTATTCAAGGTTCGCCCTAGAAGTTTTGGTTATTACTTGACCTTGTTCTTTTGACTAGCATTAGATAGTTTGTATTTAACTCAGGTTACTGCCAATTTCCAGGTAATCTAGTACCCACATTTGGAAATGCTTTTGCCTTTCTATTTCCGATGTATTTCATTGTTGATATATTTCAGGTTTGGTCTGTCAAAAAAGACAGAAGAAATTTGTATTGCAAATGATTAGAGTTCACTCCCCTGTTATAGATGTCAATCATACTGCCAAAGGAAGCATAAATCTACATTATCTTATTGGCCAATCACTCCGTTATTTATTATTTTACATTTCTAGATAGAGATATAAATATCTGAGAAGGGAGATAATTCAAGGGGAGATAAGTTTGACTGAAAACGTGTTGTCACTTTCCTTGAACAATTTCACTTATTTCTCGTATCCATATTTTAAATCAAAACATAATATCAATCTATATTACCTACTTAAAACCTATTTCATTAGAAATGGGAAGCCACATTGTTTTGTTATATATATATTCTAAACTGTTTTTATATCTACATAGTTTACTGTTTAAACAGATATTATTGAAAATGACCAAACAAGTTTCATTCATTTGTAGTTCCATCGTACATTCCTCAATTTGATTCAATGTATTAAATTATCAGGTACATTCCACTCCTCAATATTATAAGACGACATAGTTGTGTAAATTTGTGTCTGCATAAGTAAACATTGAATGGGAGGTAGGAAGATGTAACTGGTGTCAAACTCCAGGTTAATTGGTACTTCGTTGTAGAGGGGTTTTATTTGTAAAATGAACAGCTGTTTGAAAAAAACATAAGAATGTAACTGGTGCTTGTTGGTTCTTGATTCCATGAGATGGATTTTTATCCTGAATGGCATAGTTGTATAAATATGTAGCTGCATTGTATACTTTGGGAGGTACATGTAGCAGTTTGATTAACAGATACTTGGTAAGAGTGTTATTTAATAATGTGTAGAATCAAATGGATATATTTACCAGTTTAGTTTTTCTACACCAATTTTATCAAAATAGGTCACAAAATTGTTCACGTGTGTAAATTAATAATTTCATACCAACTGAGTGAACAGTTAGTTCACTTCATGTATCTCATATAGATTTGTTCTTATTATAATCAAAATATAAACATATATGAACAGATTAATAGATTAAGCAAATTTAAGTAGAGAATGTACCTTTTTAATAATTTAATATTATATTGTTACAGATGTACCTATATCTGCTTAGAAATTATCACTAAATAATATTTAATTAATTTTATAGAATAGAGTTTTCCAATAATAATGTATGATTGTTAGGTAAATTCGCTGTACATTAATAGAAGTTTAGCCACCATATTCATGTTGCAGATTTTCATAATCATGAGTTTAATAAAAAAGAAAATAGCGACAGCCCAAGGCTGTGTTATGACAATTTACTTGTTTTAATTGTGATAATATAAAAGCCATAAAATGGCACGATTAATGGTCAATAATTTATAATTCCTCATTCTAGTTTTGATGTAAAATTATAGTTTCAATCCTGTATAGATTTGTTACAGGCTTACGTTAATGCTAGTTATCATAAAATATAATTATTGGGCCACAGAAAGTATCAAAGTGTAGCACATGATTATATCGAAAGTTGCTGTATTATCATTAGTATATAGCAGAGAAGGGAATCTAAGGAACGTTTTCATCTGTTCTTAGAGATCATCACCGACAAAACATTTACTGTTGTGAAGGTCCTTTAAGAATTTGCAGATTTTTGAATTATTCAGTAATTGTGGTAAAAATAAATAAAAAATCGACAAACACAGTTAATTGAAATATCAACTACATCATATCAAAATCTCCTTAATATTTGAAATATAGGATGAATTGTCAAACTCATTTTACAACCTAAATTTGTTTCCTTCAGTGTTTTTGATGTTGTGAAGTGTTTTTATACAATCTTGTTAATGTTATTTTCAGTGTTGTATGTAGATCTTTATATCGACTTATACATATACATGTAAGTGTAGTCACAATTACTATGATAAAGTGGTTGATGTAAAATTACAAGGAACGATTGTGATTTTTATACTCAAGAGCTGTAAAGCTATTTTTAAAAAAATATTATTTTCAATATAGGTGATATATGTAAGATACAATTTGGTGTAGAAAAAGACCGAGATAGATTAGTTAGATTTATCCTGTATCGTGATACATAGAGGGTATTGTTGATTGTTGTCAAAAGGATTTTATATATACAATGTTGGGATAATAATCTAACAGATGAGCATATAGGACAATAATTATTATATAAACTGTTATATAAAAAAGTCATATTAAAATATTCTGTGATATTAGATTTACCTTTAATACAGGTGTGAAGTATAACATATTTATTACTCAGAACAAATGTCACAAATATAAACCATGTTCGTTTCCCGTAGTTTTTATGCCAATTAATTGTGTTTTTAAATACTGGTGAATTCGACTTCATTTCAAATCAAAATGTTCTATAATTACATAAGTATGCTTATTGTTATCCCTAATCCTTCCAAAAGTTGAAATTTGCGCAATATTATTGAAATACGCACTAAAAATGCCAGAAGTAGTGTTGCACTCTGCACTATTTCACTATATATATATAGTCATGTTAGTCGTCAGGGTTTTGTGCTAAAATAAGTCGTTGGCTGTTCCAGATGAAATCAAGGCTTTCCCGGATGAGAAATCCTAAAGGAAATTCCAAATGCAAATACGTTTTATGAAGAAAAATACCAATGATGTGTAATTTAAAGATTGTCTGTTCAATTATTATTATATAAATTGTTGATTGTATGTTAAAAAGTCTGTTACTATTTATGACAAGACATGAACATAGAAATATATGTAGGTATATCGATAGATACATTGTGGAATTCAAAAGGTTTTATTGACTTATAAGATATTGAGTTGCCATAATTAAAAAAGGTTGTTATTTGAATGTTATTGGGAAAATTGTCTCGTAACTCATAACGATCACATTAGATACAATCAGAAAAACCAACAACCGCGTGTGAAGTAAATCTACGTAAAATATGCACCACATATAGCTGGTACTTTTGTTTATAGAATACTGTTGGACTGGGTTAATCTGGACACTCCGGTTCCAAGCGAAAAAAATATGTAGTTAATTTATAGATAAATGAAACACAGCTTTTGTGGATCATGACTTACATTCATTATCTGACGAGAATATCTGGATTAACGAGCTTTTACTAATAATAGATAGTACTTTTGTAATAAACAAAAGAATATGTCTACTCGTATGTTTTGTAATTGTCAAAATTCAAAGAGAACAAGTATTGATCGATAGCTATAGGCTCACTATGTGTTTGTTTGTACACGAAATACTCTCCTCGTGTTGTTTGTCTACATATACGTAAATCAGTAATTTGAAGGAATCATTTCATCTATGCATTTTGATATATTTCATTATTCTTATATTGTTTATAATCCTTTGTGGAAAATGTATAAATGTATGTGTGTCTTACCCTTACTGTTTCTCGTCATGTTGAGATTGTCAATCAAAATGTGTAAATGCGCTCCTATTGTGCTTTATTGTTTTCTTGTGAAAATCAATCCCCTCCATATTTATATGTAGAGCCATATTGTAATCCCTCCGAATTAAATTTTGATTGATTATCAATCATGTTATTAAATGTAAACGAAATAATGCAACAAAGAAATTAAGCCCTTTACGGAATTTTTATTTAATACTCGTTTTTATCGTAATTTTAAGTTACAAAATACATATATATATATATACACTCGTAGTATCTTAAAAGAGTCTCCATTTCGTATACCATAAAGTGTAGAAATTGTCAGTGCAACGAAGCTCTGTCATGATAAAAACAATTCTCACATGAAATGAAAATAAATCCGGTTTTTTTTCTCTCAAATTGTCAAGAATGAATGTGATAATTGCGAAACCATATTAGCGCAGTCTATCGTCAATGTCTAATGACTTCAATTCGATGTCACAATGTCGTGATGACACGTTGTCATCTGTATTATCATGTCACGATGGATGTCATAACATGAAGTTATATGCAAAAAGTTTATTCAGTGATGATATCGTATTCATGTAATGAAATCAAATACGAAACAGACATCGAATTGAAATTGGAACATAACTAATTGATATTCGAGCACGAGAACGTCTGGAACCAATTCTCAATATTTTATATATAATTCAAGCCTAATATAAATATTATGTTAATAGTTTGACACTTACAATGTTCTTTACCAGATAAATAATGATGGACAAATTAAGTAAAAATCCAAAAAGATATTACAGACAATGTAGTTTGCTATGAATACATTACATAATTTATTTTCTGAATAAGACTGAAAAGTCATCAAGATTTTTTCTAGTATCAACATTTCAAGTTTTATAGGTATTTTAGATGTTTTAGTTTTCAGAAGTTCAGTTCCACAGAGAAAAAATAAAGAACATACTTTTCATGTCTATTTTACCGATGTCGGGATCATATTCTACTAGACACCACAATTTTGAGATTTTTTTGTCTTTTAGTAATTTTCAGTAGATCTTAACTAACATTGACAGACTTGGTAGTAGATATTTATGAGGGTTTTTTAAGACTTATTCAATGTGTAAAGGAATAGTCAGTAAAAGAAAATTTCACTGTTCTTTTACTAAGAAATAACCAATAAAGATAATATTACTGAAGAAAACAAAATGTTGTAGCGGTTGTCTTGCGTTATAGGGATGGGGGTTGTGTAATGTAGCCTATGATATATAATATAAGGTTAAATTTCATACTTTGATTAGGGTAAGATTTTCTTGAACGCCTCCGAACTATGTATCTATATACGTAATACTGTCTCCAGTGAATAACATTCCTATTGTATATGTTGTGGTTATACATTTCCTGACATCGGTTATACTTAGCAGACAAGTTGTTGCTTTGACGTGAGTTAAATATGAACAGTTAAATAAGTTTAATGTAAGAAATAAGGTTTCACACTTTGCATTCTGTATACTTTTGGAATAATATTTACATTCATTTCTTTCATGTGTATTCAAGTTTAATTATCAAGGTGAAATTATTTTGAAAAAAATAAAGTTTGTACGTGAAGATTTTATTTTCCTTTTCGCACAAGATTCTCATGAATCGTGTTTTTTTTAATAAATTTCACATGAAAACAAAGGCTTGCACACACGCAGGTAAAATCTGCTGCGAATGACTTGCCTGTTTGAAGATATGCAGTATTGTTTTTACATGATTTTTTCGCATATATGAAAACTTTCTAAATTATGCAATCCCTCCTAAAGTTAAATGGCAGAATATAAAATATGTTATGTCCAATTTCTTTCGGCTAGTTCTGGTGAATCAATTGATGGCTAGTAACAGTGGTGAAGACTTTATTCACATATCTGTGTATTGTGATGTTGTTACCCGTCTTCTATGTGTCACCAGCATGTCAAAATAAAATGTCAAAATGTTGCCCAAAAAATGTGTTTTTCTCATTTTATTTGTCATCGATAAAGATTTAAACACACCGGAGAGCATTTCAGAATAGACTTCATTTACACATCTAAATGTACGAAATTCAGAGACCTGATTTAATGAGATCACATTGACATTTTTTCTAGAATGTTTGAGCAGCTACATGTACTTGACAAAAGAATGAGTGAGTGTCTATAAGGCCCTTTTTTGGGCCCGGTATATTCAGATTTTTACTTCTTGTTTTTTTCAAAGATGTCCTATTGTATGACATGCGGAAAAACTAAGCTAAAAGTTTGGCCGAAAGTGGGTTTTTGGCGGCACCAAAAGGGGTAGGGTAAATCACAAATATAGTTTGCTGTTTTCAAAGTGAGCTTAAAAACCTTAGTTTTTCCGCATGTAATACAATAGGACATCTTTGAACAAAATAAGAAGGGTGAACATCTGAATATACCGGGTCCAAAAAAGGGCCTTATAGACACTCATCCTTTGCAATGATTATACAATGTACTATAATGAAGAAAGAAGTTACAATAAGATGATTGCTATAAACTTTAATTTAGCGTTCGCATATACTAATTAAATGATTCCGTAATGCCGGTAATTTTCCCTTGACAATAAGACAGTCAGTTCTATTTGTTGTCATTTACTACTGTATGGCAACAATGATCACATTATTACAACACTATATGAAAAAAATAGAATCAAAATGTATCACAACATCCACACACAGAAGGACCAAATGACACCTTAAGTTAATACAAACAGAAAAAAGTGATAAGTTATAATTAGTAACAAAAATAAGGGCTAAAACAAAAGGATAAACACGAACCCCTTAAAAATCAAGCTGAAACCAATGTAGCCTGAAGGAAAGCATTCCTCAAAACCAAAACGGCAGCAGTGTAAGCCCTGGTCATATGTACCTAAATAAGAAACGAAATACCAGGTTAGGAACATTAGTTAAGTGTGGTATTAACAGTGTAAGGTCCTTGATTCGAGTGGTTAGTAACATTTAGTCCAGACAGAACCGAAGTCCTTTTCGCTAAAATTGTAAGACTGTTATTAAACAAAAAATTGACAGGCAGTATTTAGATTTTATTAATAAACACAAACATTTGGGAGTTAATCTAAATTCGGATGCAAAATGGGGTGATCGCATAGACGAAATTTACCAATCAGTTTCGAAGACTTACGATTTACGAAAATCAAAACTTATACTCAACAGCGATTATCTTTTAAAAAGTTAGGAACTTTTATTTAAAGAATTATCAAATATGCTTGTGAACTGGGACGATTGTTCAAATTCTGATTGAGAAAGAAAAGTCAAGAAGTTAACTTGAAGCCTTGCGCATTGTTTCATATCACTGTTTCCATCATACACCGAATTAGTTATTTTGTATTTTGAGACTTGCATTGAGAAAATTGCTGAAAGAACAAAAAGGCGCTTACGCAACTAATTTATAAAATGCACATTTATCTCACACCCACCTACATTTTTTCATTATTATACCCATAGTTAGAAATAACGAACATTATCGTTTTAGAATTGCAATAATTGCAAGGTATAGTTTCATATAGAGTTTTTGTTTTGCTCTACATAAGACGAAACAACCAAAAGTAGTTTTTTCTGGCTAAGAGTAACCTCCCCTGTGAAGTGTTTTACATACTCTGAGTCGCATAAAATGAACTCTTGTTTTGATGCGGTACTTGTGTAACTACTGTAATGAAATATTGGTAAAGCATAGGCTGAGTACCCTAATTCGAACCCTTGCATACTCTTTTCGTTTTCAATAATAAAAATTGAAATTTTATACTTCGGTAAATGCATTACAACATGTTAAAAATCTTATAAAAAGTCTATAAAATATTTCATTTTATTTAGAATGACAATATATTTTTTAAATTTGATGGTACACTTTATTACATTAATCGTCTGAGAAAGTAAGAACACTTACAAGTTTTACTGTTCTAATCTGATGACGGCTGTTCTAGCTCAAGTTCAATGATCCATCAGGTTTTGTAAGGATGCCCTGCAGTGAATGAAGATATCATATAAACAATAGAAAAATGAAATCCTTTCCTGCTAAAGAAGTTGAATTATAAATTTGTCGAATATATAAAATAACTATTTGAGTTGGGGCAAACGAAATACATACCAAGTGTGACGTGAACAGAAGTAATACAGCTTTGGTCGTGGCATGCTGTTAAAGTTGGTCGCGCCGCATAGCGAGTAGGCTCCTACATAACTAATATGTACCCATTCTCCCACCTCCATTAATGGTAAAGGGATGTCTTTTTCTAGGCAATCCGGGGAAGCACATGTTGGACCCCACACAGTACTGTTGTGCTTTTCTGTCATCGCCTAGAGATAAAAAGGAAGTACTTTATGCATCGTCATTTCCGTGGTAATATTATTTCTGTGACTTTCGCAGTCTACTTAATAATATAAGACTACTATGATCGGTATACAAACCTTTTTTAGAACTGGTGATATAACAAGTACCTTCGTACCATCGTTCACCCGACACAAAGATCCATATATCCCATCATTGATGTTGTACAAAACATGTTCAATACGTTTTTTGTCTGAAATTAAAAGCAAATTTAATCAGAATATTAAATGACAAGAGATACATTAGAGGAAGATGTAAGCACTAGACGACATTTAAAAGATGTTCGGTGTAATTTTATGCTCTCTGCCATAATTACCAATACTAATTATCACCGTTTATATAACTGTTCATTAACAACGCATTAGTCTTAACGCATTTAATCGTACAGTCGATTTACAGTCGGTGTTAATCTGCGAAACGTATAAAACATTTGTATGCTCTACACATACCATGGTCATAGACAAACTTCCGGCCTATGATATTGGCTGCAGCGCTGACAGCAGTTTCTACAAGGTAACGTCCTGGTTCGGCGATTACTTTTACTCCTTCTGCTTCAGGGAAATACTCATCAAGGCACTGGTTTATGATGTCTGCATTCTTACGTAAAGATGATAAATGAATGGAAATACAGTGCCTGTGTGACAAGTATGAACATATTACCAGGCGGGTATACAGGCTGTACGAAAGCTGTACCATCCAGTTCTTATCATTTTATTGAGAATCTTTCATACGGATTGCACCGTTAAATTAAAGATTAATGGGGTCAGTTTAATTCTTGAAATCAATCATTAAAATAATATCTAATATATAAGACTGGTCCATAAAACACATTTAAGTAAACAAACAATATCAACTGTTTAACAAAAACCCTGGCTTCCAGTATTATTTTTCCGATTATATTACCTTGAGCAAATATATATTTCTGTAACGAGTTCAAGAACTATACCTCTTCTATGGTCGGATGATCAACATCTCTGCCTCGGTATCCACCTCCGATGTCAAGGACGTTCATCCCAAATCCGACCTTTAGTCCCATGTCAAAGATCCTCCGAGCTTCTTTGATTGCCAAAGCAAATGCGTCGGAACTGAGACAGTTACTCCCAACATGGAAACTAAAACGAAACATGAACTAGTCTCAATTTTGACTGTCTCACAGTTACCAGAAATAATATTAAGATATGGAGCGTTCTTAATAACCGCATTCTACTGCCGACAGGCATATATAACTGACTATAATATACGTAAATTATTTAACAAATTATTCTATGTGATAATGTCTGAATGCATATTTGATTTAACTTCTCAAATTTGCATTTATGTATCTCACCTCACACCAATGACGTTCAAGCCTTTGTTCTTTGCCGATATAAACAAATCCAGCGCCTCTTCAAAGACACAACCGAACTTCTCCCCTAGGTCATACATGACTGTATAGGTGTGATTCGGCCGAAACCTCAACAGTAGTCTGTAACATAACGCCAGGCTTCAGGATTAATACCTGATATAAATATATTTAACATGTCGAGCCCAACTGTATCATTTTGCGCATTTCTATTTTCGTGAATGCCTGGAAATCATTTGAAGTGTTTAAATGGTAGTTTTGATACATTCATTATCATAGATGATATTTCATTACTGCAAATGACTGCTTTCTTGTGGAATTAACAGACTTGTTCTTCCTGCGAAAATAAAGTTCCCTTAAAGAGTCACACTGACGGTACCTCACCAATGTAATTATTGAAACAACTAACCTTGCTGATCCATACAACATCTTGATCTTGATCAATTCCTCCTCGCTGTCAAATGTCATCAGATCTACATTGTGTTTCTTGGCGTAAGAAAGATGTGTGTTTTGTTTACATGGGTTGGCGTATATGATGCGTGACGGATCGACTCCTAGGTCTAACATCTGCTGTATCTCAGCCTACTTGAAAGAACACAAGGCATGATCATTTCACACACATATATATATATATATATCATCTCGATTTAAACGAAGCTCCTTTTTCCTTTTGAATATGACATTTCAGTTTGAATTGAATCACTGCTTATCGTTTATCATTTGATTTGTTTTCCTTCAGAGCAGTGAAATAATAATGACGGTGGCGTTATGAAGATAGTTAACTTCATTATTATTGTATCGTCCTATTATTGTACTTTTAAAGTCCTTGTGGATTTTATAAAAAAAAATTATAGAAATTGTGAATCAATCAAACCGCCATTTTCTGAGTGTTATTTTAATTCTTCTCACGCCTGCCAACACTTAGTTCCTAAGTATCGCCTGACTGGGATAATTTGTATAGGAAACTGGCGAATCAATTTTAAGCACATCTACATAAAAAGTGATTAAGAAAAGACTTGATTGACTCGTATACAGGATGATTGGAAGACGCGCTTACCTTGCTCGCACAGTCAAAACTACTCCCTAGTCTTACAAGGACATCAACTATTTTTTCATCATTGTTGCACTTCAAAGCTATTGGAATAGAAATACAAACGAGTTTTTGAAAGCATCGTATATAACATTTCTTTGTCATGGAAATTATATCGAATCAGCTTTAAAAAGGAGTACTGTTTTTAATTTTTTTATTTTGGCGTAATATGAAAAAATGTTTTCTATCGTAAATGGTATGTTGGAAATGTGTCGAAAAAATGTTGAAAATAGAAACCGACCATCGCATTACATGTAAAAAATAGAGAAACAGGTAATGATAAATACAAAGTTACCATAGAATAGCTCCACCCTTGGAAGCAAATTGTACCATTTTCTGTACCTCTCCACCACCTCGTCAATATCAACGATAACCAGAGGATCGTCTATACCCTGTATTAAATAAATCATGTATTTCAGACGACGAATAGTACACGAAAGAATCTATGGTACAATAATATCCATGAAGCACTCCTCAGAATGTGGTCAACATTTCTATTTTCTATCTATTCATGGGAATAAGGTAAAAGCAATCAAACCAAAATCATAAAAATGGGTAAATATATGTCAAATAACCACGAAAAAAACCCAAATTTACAGCAAAATGCATTTGTGGAACGCTTTTATTACAAAATGGTGCGACAAAAATTGCCTTAACTGATGTAAACATTAAAGTAGAAGAAATGGGAAAAATTGGAGATTGATATTATTACACGTTATGATGGCATGGAAGTCTCGACAAAAAGGTTTGTCTGTTAGAAAGTTGAATCGCCAACAAAATTCAATATTAGATAAGCTTACCAGCTCTGTCTGGTAAGCAATCTCTCGTTTGATGTAGTTTGAATGGGAAAACCTCGCATCAACAATCAGCATATCGTTATCCGTCATTTTCTTGAAAAAAGCGTGCAACCTTTAAAGACAAGGTCTTGTTTAAAGTTGATAAACTATTTCTGTATTCAATTATAATGTAATAATTCTTTTTAAACAGATAAATGCTGTACGGATGGCGGTACACAATAGCGTAGACTTGGATGTCGTCATCGAAATTAAAGGAGCGGAAAAAATAACAAAATTCTCAAAGTTTCTGAATGGAAACAGGCTGGCTAAAGGGTTACCCTAACCCATAAACTGTTCAAAACCGAACTCGTATGCAGTAAAGCCGAACTTGAAGACTGGCAGCATTATTCAAACAATACTGAAGATTCATAACGCCAGCGTGTCAGCTTATAGCCTACCTCTATATATATTTCTGTATCATTTTACTGCTAAACATCAGCTTGTTTAGGTATCATTGTTTGTTTTTTATTGTTAAAATATATCACTAGATAAGGAGCTGAGCACAATATATGCAAATGCATTTTAATGCTAACAACTTGTTGTCCGATAAATACACCAAATCTATTCACATCACCAAATAATTCAAGTCTGATGTAGATATTGGTGGATTTTATGAGCAACGTTATTCATTTTTGAAAACGAAGTATGCAAGTCTTAAGGGACAAACCTATCACTTAAACATCATACCATACAGATATCGCTCTCGTTTTGTGTGACACTATATCAACACTTTGTGTTATAATCAATTTGGGAGCCTGAAGTTGGTTCCTAGTTCCTAGTTCCTAGTTCCGTTTATGATAAACGGAACTAGGAACCAGACCCTAGTTCCGTTTCAGATAAACGGAACTGGGAACCAGACACTAGTTCCGTTTAAAATTGAAATAACACTATAATTCGAACTTCGACCAAAATACTAGGTCTGTTTCAGAAAAACATCATAACCAGCCTATTATAAAATCGACTGGGAACTCAAATCCACAACCTTTCACAGGAAAAGTATGACTACCATAGCCTCTATAAAGTAATTGGTTTTATACGGAACTGAGTGTCAGTCTCCAGTTACGTTTTTCCTTAAACAGAACTGGGATCCAGACCCTAGTTCTGTTTAACATAAACAGAACTGGGATCCAGACCCCTGTTCTGTTTAACATCAATGGAACTAGGAACCAGACCCTAGTTCCGTTTAACATAAACGGAACTAGGAACCAGACCGGGGTCCGTATAGTAAACGTATATGGTTTTTTTTTTGTAATTCTTTCCCTGTCTACCTCGAAAAACGAAAGGTCAAAGGCGCGTAGTTATATCTGTATCAAGTACAGGAATCGAACCCACAACCTTTCACACGAAAATTATGACTACCATAGCCTCTATAAAGTAATTGGTCGTATACAGAACTGAGTGTCAGACTCCAGTTACGTTTAACATAAACGTTTAACATAAACGGAACTAGGAACCAGACCCTAGTTCCGATTAAGATAAACGGAACTAGGAACCAGACCCTAGTTCCGATTAAGATAAACGGAACTAGGAACCAGACCCTAGTTCCGATTAAGATAAACGGAACTAGGAACCAGACCCTAGTTCCGATTAAGATAAACGGAACTAGGAACCAGACCCTAGTTCCGATTAAGATAAACGGAACTAGGAACCAGACCCTAGTTCCGATTAAGATAAACGGAACTAGGAACCAGACCCTAGTTCCGTTTAACATAAACGAAACTGGGAACCAGACCGGGGTCCGTATAGTAAACGTTTATGTTTTTTTTGTAATTCATTCCCTATCTACTTTACAAAACGGAAGGTCAAAGGCCCGTATTTATATCTGAATCATGTACAGGAATCGAACCAACAACCTTTCACACGAAAATTAAGACCACCATAACCTCTATAAAGTAATTGGTCTTATACGGAACAGAGTGTCAGACTCCAGTTACGTTTTTCCTTAAACGGAACTGGGATCTGTTTTTTTTATGGTCACCTTTATTTTAAATAGTCACTGATTAGATAATAACCGTTACAATGAATCAATCATTCTGCTGGGCACGCGTTATATTGACGTGGTTGCTTTGCGCCAATCCACGCTGCTTTATACACTTTCTATTATTAGCTTATTGTCTATTTCAATGGTTATTCGTATTTTCAGCTGTATTTTTTTANTATAGCTAACTGACCAGGATCAGGATGAAAGTGTGGATAAAAGTGATAATCTACAAGCTAAAAGCAAACAGGACACACATTTTTATACCATAAATAGTGGACAATTCGACAAAATTATACACAAAGGCTTAATAATTCATTTTACATTTTACAATCACTTTGATCATGTCGAGAGTTGTCTTCCTTGAAACAAATTGGAAAATTTTACAGCGGGATTAAATTTACACAATGACAGTTATCTCTAGTAAAAAATATCAGTGATTAAAATTAATAGAAATTATGATATCCAAAGTGACAATTTATTGTTCTTTCATGGAACTAAATTACTCTTAGTCATGTACACTTTGGACATCATTCCACAGCCCGCTTACGCATGGTATATTTACATTTCAGATACATGTGTAACCAGAGGCTATCGCATGGTATGCCGTTCTCACGTGCACCCTCATACGCATTTTCATCGGGATCTTTATATGTTTACAAAACACTATTTCAACAGAGTCAGTGAACTGTATTTATAAAAACGATTGACTCGACAGAGCGTAACTCGCTCGACAGCGAAAGTCGCAACGACCTCGAGCTTGTTAAGTGGTGTAGGTACACAAAACGCTAAGTCGCTTTCCGTGTGCTTCATATATGACCTTCTTAAAGTCGCCTGGTCTCCTGTCAGTGTTTTTCCGTGAGTCCGTTTCTGTCTTTGTAACGGAATCTTTATTTCTGAAGTACGTGTGATTACACATTTCCCAGCTAATTTTGATATCGGGTGTTGACATATCATCGTCAGGCACATGTATTATTGACTACAATTTACGCTACGGTATTGAAATGCCCGATACGCAATACGGAAATGACGACACAAAAATACGGCAAGTAAAATATGTGTATTACGAAGGACGGGAGGTCCTGAATAACTTCATACACGATGAGAACGATTACTCGCTGTCATTACAGCATACAGACACAATCCCCAACAAAGAGTCGGTTTACGTTTGGCTGAAGCATAAAAAGAAACTCCCAGTATCAGAAACAGGTACAAACTTTTTTCCCTTGTCATTAGTGGTCTCGAGACCAATCCAAGACCACAACGTCAGAACTCATATCCATGCGGTGTGTTCAAGAAAGCCTGTAGGTGAAACGTCACGAGTGGTGCCATGCAGCGTGCAATGAAGAGATCAGTGTATTGTATCACATGTGACAAATCAATTGATTGATTGATTGATTGATGGGGCTTTACGTCCTCGTTCCGGTTATGAATCGATTATTGTGAGTGATGTTAACTCCTTCAAAGAGGAGGGGACGCGATAAACCACTCACACATAAACAAAGCCTACGTATCATAGTGGTGAACTTCCAAAGCAACAATAACAAGTCTAGTGAAGTCGGAGTCTTATGCGCTTTCACGTCAGCAGAAATAGTGATCGAGACGGAAACTTGGCTAGATGATTCTGTGTCATCTTTAGAGATCTTCCGAGAGTATCAATGGGGAATTTGAGGATTTCCAGAGGGAGTTTGACCAACTACCAGATAGTGGTGTGGATGTGATATGGAACGCGTTTAAAGACAGATGACTGAGTCTAATCGACAAACACGTTCCATCAAAACTCACGTCATCAACATACACCAATTCGTGTGCAAACAGTGATATAAATCGCCTGAGTAGGAGGAAAGCAATGGCCTACAAGAAAGCTCAGAGCACTAAGACAGAGAAGGATTGGAAAAGATATAGGAAATTGAAGGTCATCACACAGCAAGAAACGGGGAAAACATATGACATATACCTAGATGAAGTCATCAGCAACCAATACACGGACAGCCATAAGTAGTTCTGGTCGTATCTAAAAGGTAAAAGGACAGACAGCAGTGGAGTTGCCCCATTAAACCACCAAGACGGCTTCGAATTCCTACACAGTGACACCGGAACTAAGTTTGAGATCTTAAACAGCCAGTTCGAATCGGTTTACATAGAAGAGGACTTGAGAGTGAAATTCCGGACAAAGGAAGGAGCCAGCGCCCGACATCACCACAGATATGTGAGGAGTGCATAAGCTGCTGACGGGACTGACTGAAGCCGCATAAGGCCTCAGGCCCCGACTCCATACCAGCCAGGATCCTCAAGGACTCCGCTCTTCATGTAGCCCATATTCTTACCAGGATTTTCCAGTGCTCCCTGAGAAGTGGGAAATACCTGAGGACTGACGGAAAGCTTCAATTGTACATATTTATATGATGGGAGACAGACACAACCCTGTCAATAACCGCCCAGTGTCATTGACGTCGATTGCAAGTAAATTGCTCGAGCCCATTATCTACAGCAACATCATGGATCACTACGACAATAATAATATCCTGGTCGACGAGCAACATTGTTTCAGATCACGTTGGTCCTGCGAGTCACAACTCATCCCTAATATTCAGGAGATAGCGAAGTAATTGGCCGAGGGGGAGTAGATGGATGTACTCCTGCAGGCTTTTGACAAGATGCCGTGACAACGACTCCTCCGGAAACTAGAATTCTACGGTGTGAGACGGAACATATAGATGTGAATTAGAGACTTCCTATCGCATCGGACCCAGCAAGTGACATTAGACGGCAAAACATCATCTTCTGCGGCTGTACGTTCTGAAGT